ACTTTATTTATAAGTAGCTCATACTTAACATTTTGTAGTCTAGTTTGGTTTCTACGTAGTTCTATCTTCTGCTAACATTAATTAACCTTTTATAATTATTCCTTTTTTTCATTATATTGTAATATTAAGCTTCTTGTCGTATTCTCAACTTCATTTATGTTAATTGCTAACATTTTTCTTTAGCGAACCACGTTTAACACATCACCTCAGATCCTGTGTTGTTTCTTGCTGTGTTATCTGCTGGGGATTTAGGTGTGGTGCGTTCGATATACCAAAGTAGTCAGAATTACAAATTGTGGACTACACCTTTGTTAGTCTTTCTTTCTCATTAATCCATGGCATAAAGCTCTCTTTGATGGTTTTCTTCTATTGCCTCACACCCCTGCTACTTTCACCATTACTTATTTTGGCTTCCTGTACTTGTAAAATTAGAGCTAGTAGCTAGGTATAGATGTCTTGCATTCTCTGGTTTGCCATTTTAATTTCTAGCATATCATTCTCTTCAATAAGATCATTTACTTGCTCACCATAAAATTTCATCTTTGTCATTTCCTATTTTATTTCCTTTTCCCATTATTGGGTACCTCTACTCCTTTCTCGGGCCCTCAACCTGCTCCGGAACACCTAACTTAGCCTTAAACACCCCGCTTGGTAGGTTAACTCTTTACCCTCAGGTCAGAATTTATGAATTTACATATAAAATTGGCCTGAACTTCAAAGAAAACTTAAAAGTTTTAGTGTTGGTAAATGCTCACGAATGTAGAAATAAATTCTCACCAAAAGGACCGCCTTTCACCACCTGGTAGTCCTGGCAGGGTCGCCACTAAGTACCGATTTGTCTCCATACACAAACTCACAATCTTCTCACAATGTTCACAATCCTGATTTTTACCCACACGGTTTCTTACCCCAAACGAGGCTAAATCAAAACGTTCAACAAATTATCTTGTATAAGTGAACGCTAGACTTTATGAAGCTCAATGCGAATTCAGAAGTAACAATTGCTGCTGGTTCTCTGGTGATCCACCAAGATCCAGCAATGAAAAGAATACAGTATGACTCAATTCTGAACTAAATTGTCAAAGAAAAATCCTTGATATAAAAATTTGTTTTTGCGCTTCAAACATGTCATAGGTTGGTTTCATAGACAAGAGCCATAAGACACTTCAAAGGATTAAAGAAGAATATAACAAGCCCCCGAAACTTCACATTATCTGTTCAAAATTGTCACAGCTTATTCTACAGTAATTTCCTTCATTTGCATAATTGCTGATGAATCCATAATGAAGGCACCCAATGATAATCTTTGTTCATAACATCAATATTGTTTTATTCTGTTCGCATTAATACAGTGAAATTTCTTTCAAAAAAGCCAAACTCTTACTTTTCCGTATTTCTCCGTGGGAAAATTTCTTGGAGTTGCAGGGTAAAGTTAAATTTCAAGCAGGGGTGAAACTTCATTTCAAAATTTCTTGCAGTTGCAGGGTAAATTTTAAGCAGGAGCGAAACTTCACTATTTTCATTAGGGGAATATGAAGCTTCGATGCCCGACGAAAGGGCGTGTCGTGCTTGATGGAAGGGCGTGTCATGCCTGAACATCATTTTTTGGGGCACACCGCCTCAAGGGTTGAAATCATCGGGGACCACGAGAGAGGGTCACTAAGTATGTTAGGCCTTCAGACTCAGGCTGTTTTTCAAAGCCAAAAAAAATGCCTCTATTTTTTCAGGTGTTGACTATAGACATTTGTTTCCGAAAAAACAAGCATTTGTAAGACCGTCTTTTCTATAAAAAAATGTCTTCACTTTCTAAATCTCTTAGCTATAAAGAGAGCAATTTAAAAAAAGAGATTAAAGGAGAGACTCAATTTGATTACAGTGGAACAACGAAACACAGCTTGGAAATTTTGGTATTTAGAAACAGACTACAATGTTTTAACGATGACAGTAGTCCCATAAAAGAGCACCAGTTTTATTCTTTGGATTTCATTACTTTTTTTTCTTTTCAAAAAAATTTAAATTTTTTTTTCTTTCCAAAAAATTTTAAATTTTTTTTTCTTTTCAAAAATTTTTTTTTAAGTTTTCGAATTAAATAAAAATGGATCAGAAATGAAATGGAAATAAAAAATTAGAATTAAAAGCGAAGATAATGAAAACAAGATTGAAAACAAGATTGAAAACAAGAAAATACCGTGTGGCACTAATGGGCCACCATACACTACTGTTGTCCGCCTAAAGATTTTTTTCCTCCATAATTGTAATAAGTTTTATTTAGATAACTCAAGCAATGCCATGAAAGGTCGGAAAGTAATTTGGAAAATTTTTTTGGTTCATTATAAAATTGATAAAAATTGAAATAAAGTGAGCCGGCTATGGTCATAATTTCGCTACTCACAATGTTATCATATGCCCCACCCAAGTTAGTTTGCAAGAAAAGCTTATTCAAAAATAAACATGATAATTAGAAAACTTTTACTATAAAACAGGTAAGTGCGTTACGGTAAACCATTGTGCATCACTTTAGGGAACGAATACCCCCTTGAGGAAGATACCGTTGTGCTTGACTGCCATCCTGGAAAATTTATAATAAGTATTACTTATTAAAAATGCAGCGTAAAGATATCGAGCCATCATCTTATTAAAGAGCACCTTTTTCCGACTGATTTTCCCCGTACATTTCCCTCTCCGCCTGGTTTTGACACCGAAAACACCAAAACATTTTTTCGACGTGATGATCTACCTTCAGTTCGCAAACCAAAACAAGACAAAGAACTAAGCAAGAATGAAAAAAGCATGGTGAGTAATATGATTCCTATTGTTTTTATAACTGCCTAACAACTTTCTATTGTGTAACAGCTGAGATACGTTATTGGTAATGACTCGACAACACCGAGGGCACTTATTTTATGAAAAAAAGGACTCCTTGTCTCTCTGTGTGGGGTCCATATCACCGTTTTTAATACATAAAAACAACCCAAATATTCAATTTTGCATTTATTTTTTTAAACCATTTAAACAAATGTAAACTACTTCAATATTTTATACAAACGCGAAGAAGGTTTTGGAAACTCAAGAAATATTTAACAAGCAGGGAAATGATATTCTATGGGATAAAGATGCAAAATGCATGACAATAAACAGAAGTCATCAAGTAACAAAACATGATATAAGAAATTTCAATTAAATCACGGACTCAAACTTTAAAAAATCTTGGTCAAAGACCAAAACATTAATATTGGACCATGTTTGTTGTTAAATGTAAATATTGAAATTTGTGTTCCTCGTTCTTCACAGGCAAGCAGCGTAAACGGAAGCTCTGCACAGATGGAGTTGTTTTGGCTTCAACAAGGTTTTGAATCTCTCAGAAGTTCTGGAATTGAAGTATCTACGTTTGTCTCTGACAGACACCAAGTCTGTATGCCATTGCACAGAGATACCTATTGAACAAAAACATTGTATGACTTGATATAATGATTAATTTGAGATTCTCTTACATTCTTTAGAATCGGCAGGATCATAACATTACATATATATATTATATGTATATGGTATACTCATTTCTGCCAGATTTTATGAAAATAAAATATTGAATTTGCTAATTCCAAAAATTGAAGGTGCCAAACAGAATTTGTATTTCTAGACAGATTAACTTCTTCTTCATTCGCCCATACAACGCAATAGGCTAGGCCGCTATGATCAGGGAATGGTGGCCTAAAAACAGCAGAGATGTACAGGGAATACTGAATTTATAACACTAAAAAACACAATGAAAACTTATTTCACTCACCATTGACTCAAAGTAAAAATTCCTCGCAATCGATCAGGCAGTACGGATTGTTGTGTTCCATCTTCGTCCTCTGCCCGGTCATGAAAGCTTCGAGCCATGCCAGCTTCGCCTGGTTCCGCGTCTGAACTATCCGTAGAAAAATGACGCCCCCGAGCTTGAATATTTGCCGTGAGACATGTTCACAAACTTGCAAGTAAAACTCCGCCGTATAATTTCTTGTTAGTTAGCAATCTAAATTTTCACCAACACAACTACTTTACGTCACTTCCTGTCAAACTCGCCCCAATCCCTTGTGACAGAATTTAATGCAAAAATCGACCTTGAAACAGCTGTAATTACGGAAGTGTTTGTTTTTCGAAAATTTCATGGTGATTTTCGTGATCAGCATACTCGATTACGTCTTAGGGGCGAAAAAAATTTTTCGTGTCATATGCACTTTAAACCACTTCTCTAGATGGTGCTCTTGGGCAAACATGCATATTCGGGTTGACAAGTGCTCAACATTTGGAATTAAAAAATCATCTACTTCATCTGTTCAGTTTCTACCAAAACTTATTGTCAATAAAAACATAGTTCCTACTGTTGAAAAAGACAAATTTTTTGAATATCTTGGTAAATACTTCAACTTTCCTATGGATAATAGTTATCATATGTCAGAACTATTGGAAATTGTCAACTCGTTAATGTCCAGTATCGACAAATTGCCGTGTCATCCAAAGAACAAAATTCTGTTATACCACCGATATGTGCTATCCAAAATTTCCTGGAACCTGACCATCGCTGATTTAAGCAAGACATGGGTGACAGAGAATCTAGACAATGTTGTTTCAAGCTTTGCTAGACAATGGCTCGAGCTGCCAATAAGTGCTTCACTAAGTAGCCTCGTCATTCCCAAATCGAAGTTTGGCATCAATCTCATTCTTCCATCTACCAAGTTCTTACAATGCCAAACAGTTATCTGCAACTCTTTAAGACTGTCCCCAAACCAAGAGATTCGCTCTTTATGGAAAGACTCTAGCACTGGTACAAACATACAATATGACGTTTATCGCAACACCAAACAAGTTCTCAAATCCATCCAAAGTGAACACGAAAACCGCATTGAAAACGTTCTTACATCTCAAGGATTTATTATCTCGTGCATCTTAAAATTTGCTTCTAAGGGAACTAATCAACTTTGTTCTAGTTTCCAGCAAAAGTTACCTAAAAACATTTACCATCAAATACCTAAACAACACTCTTGCCACTAGGAAAAACCTCTGCCAATGGTCAATTACTCAGTCATCTGCCTGCTCTTTCTGTCTCCAATCAGAATCATTACAGCACATAGTCTCTAGCTGCAAGAATTATCTTGAACATGGTAGGTATACCTGGAGACATGATTCTGTACTTCTATATTTGGCTAAAACCCTTTCAACACCTAGAAACAGCTCACTTTACGCCGACCTGCCTTCATTTCTATCACCTTCTTTATTCACAGGCGACTCCTATCGACCAGATCTTGTCTTCGTAACTGAAGATCGAATCCTTTACATGCTAGAGCTTACTGTTGGGTTCGAAAGCAACATCGACGAAAACAGTACTCGAAAAGCTAGGAAATATAGCGATCTTATCAAGGAACTGAGCCCTGCCTATAAACGTGTTACCTTTGTTAACCTTTCTATGAGTGCCCTTGACATTCTGGGAACCTCATCTACTTCTCTCTCTCTCTCTGACATGCTACACCAACTTAATTTTGACTCAAATCAAACTAAATCCATCTTGATGAAACTCATGAACATTTCTATCCGCTGCACCTACTATATCTTCTGTCGTCGAAACAAACCATGGCTAAGCCCCGAACTAATTGACTTTTAAATATTGTAATGCAGATAAGCCAATTATATGATGCCTGTAAAAGCGAGTCGTATAATTGTAAATTTAAAATGTATTCAATGAGAATGAGATGTTTGAAAAAAAAACTATTATTATTAATAATTTCTTTAACGTTGGCAAGAAAGAACAAAAATATACATATAGCGAATAAGCTAATTAACGCAAACAAAGTAATTTAAAACCTACTTTACAATGTCCATACGAAACCTATAAAAACCCTTTATCTTTAATGAAAATTTTGCACAATCTGCAGATGCAAGTATTTCCATGCCATAAATTTATTTTTCTTTTGAACTCGACAAGTGTGTTGGAGTCTTTAATTTCCCTTGGTAATGAGGACCACAAATGGTGACCTCTGTACTGAATATTCTCTATCCCGTATGATGATGTCTTGACTTTTGGCAACGGCAAATGATTTTCACTTCTCAGATTGTATTGAATATCTCTCTCAGTAAAAATGTTTTTCATAAATGTTGGATTCAGATTGTTTTTTGTTTTGAATATTTCAATCATTAGCAGTTGCAGATTGTGCTGATGAATTCCTAGTTCCATATTTTTTCTTCAACTCGGCTAGTTCTGATTCACTATCTTTACATACCAATCGCAGTGCTCTTTCATGAATGCGATTCAACTTTGAATTAGTTGCTCTATCATGAAACATCCATAAAAGTGGGCAATAATTAAATTGCGACTTGATGAAAGAATTCATTAAGATTTCTGATTTGACAGGATCAATGTAATTACTAATTAGACATTTGGAAAAGAAAATGTTGCTTGATTTTTCTCAATAACGTATTCCGAGATGGCATATCCTTCATTCTTTGATTTATTATGCTTCAAAAATGGTCAGTGTTCTATGGGCTCCGACGCAGGTTGGAAAGAAGGTGGCGGTCAAGGAAAAATTTAGCAATCATAACAAAAGATTTTTAAAAAAGCTACATTGTTTTGCAAACATGTTGGGGGCATGCCCTGTGTTCATTTCCTTCTTGAATCAAACACACTGTTCTCTCCGTTGTCTCTCCAAACTATACTTTTGCTGTCGATCAACTCTCCACTCTCCTTCCGTATCTCGAGGCGAAGATAAACCTGTGCTTAGAGCTCGAGACGAAGGACTAAAATGTAATTATGTTGCTGCTGCTTGCCTCGTTTCTGTTTTGTTTTCCCAGCTGGGCGGAGATTGAAAAAAATGAGGTAAAAAGGCCATTAATTCAAGAACCAAGCTGGGGCAAAAAGTAGCAATAAATGTGCGACCTAAACAAAATTTCCCCGACCGATGTACTGGTAGCCGTAAATTTGCCCGATAAAATCTGCATTTTTGCAGATTGGGGGAGGGGGTGCAGCACCCTCCAAAACCCCCAAGTGTTTCACCCCTGATTTAAAGTAAAGAAGACATGCCGGAAAATCTCGTCATGCGCGATCTAATGATTAAATTATGACAATTACTGCTTGGAGATTTGCTGCTCATGACTAGAAAGAGAAGCCGTTTATTGCGGAAAATGTTATGCATTGACTTTAACACTACAATGAATTTATTACCGGTAGAAGTTTGCAAGAATTTTAGATTTTGTGTAGAATTGTTTACGCTGGCTCCGCAAGCCTAGCATACATAGACGCTACGCCACTGCTATCAAGTTCCATGCTGGTATCATGTTTTATACAATTAGTAACTTCTTATCTTGTTACAACCCTCACTATGGCTGAATTGACTATGTTAATCTAAATGCACCACTCACCTCAGCCTCTTTTCGCACGACCTACACCCAAAAACCCCAGAAATCCCTATTTTATGGGCTCCAAATGAAAAAACTAAATTTATTTTCGAAATCAACGATGATTACTCTATCAGAATCAACGATAAAAAATTTCCATTGTTTCATTTCAGTGGCACTTTAAGGGGCATTGATGTGACCTGGAAATTATAAATTTGTTCACAAATTTTTAAAGTTCACCAATTTATCAACTTCAAAATATGTATAAGTGTCATCAGCAAAGAGATAAAAAACAATTTTTGGAGATAAATTAGGCAAATCATTTATAAAAATAAGGAATAGCAAAAGACCAAGGACAGAGCCTTGTGGTAACCCACATGTGATAGTAGATTGGAATTAAAACCATTAACAGAGACATACGGATTTCTATCAGTAAGGTAGGATCTATACCAGTTAAAAGCTGGACTATGTATTTCATAGTGTTCACGTTTTCCCAAAAGAATATCATGATTTACAGTATAGAAGGCTTTTTGCAGATCAAGAAAAATTTCAAAACCATATTTTCTGTTGTCTAGACTTTCCACTGTATTCTCTGTTACACTAATGAATACTTGGTTTATAAAATGGCTGGCACGAAAACCAATTTGAATTGAAAACAGAACATTGCGTTGCTCTAAGAAATTATATACCTTTCATTTTTCTGTAATTTTGCTGAAGATTGACAAAAGGAATATCGGCCTCTAATTAGAACTTCTTGAACAGGGGAATAACTTTCGATAGTTTCATTTTATCAGGAAAAATGCCACACTACAATTATTCATTTATGATTTGAAACAAAGGAGAGGGTATTAATGGACATAAATTTTTTAAAATTTTATCTGGAATACTGTTTGGGCCTATAGATTTGTCTTTTTCTAGCAGATTGATTATATCAGATATTTCAAAAGCGTCAGATGGAGAAATAAACAATGATTTATTGATTCTTTCACCCATAAAACACAGAGGTGATTTTTGAGAACTTGGTATTGATTTAGTAACATTGTGAGAGACATCAACAAAAACCTATTGAAGATATCTGCAATTAAAGCTGGGTCGAATGTTATATTACCATTAGAGTCTTTTATCTTGGCTATAACATTTGCATTACTTTTCTTGATACCTATGATTGACTTGGTACCGGATCATAATTGTTTTATGTTTTTACAATTTGATCAAAATAATTATTAAAGTAAGAAGCTTTGCTCTCTTTTAAAGGAACTGTAACCCGATTCCTAAATTTCTTATAAAAATTCTTAACTGATTGATCATCAAACCTTTTTTGTCTTTTAATAACCTGTCTGTAATGCGCATCATTTTTTGGATTTTTCTGGGAACCCAGGGTTTATTTCTCAATTTTATAACATTCTTGTGTTTTTTCTTTAAGGGAACATGTTTAATAACTAACTTGCTAAGGTTTGAGAGAAATGAGTTAAATTTAGTATTGATGTTCAAGCTCTCATCATTCAAGTAATTGAGGTCTAAGTCAGCAAAGTAATTTTGGAGCCTTTCAGTATTTAATTTAATCATGTTGGTAATATGATATATTTTTGTTATATTATGTGTCCATAATCGACTATAGAAAATGGGGAAATTGGTCTGTTAGTTACATCAATAGATTTCCACTTACAGTTTTCTGATTACATATTTGAATAAATATTAGCAATAACAGTAGCAGAGTTCCCAGACACTCTTGATGGCTAAACAACATATGGGAGAAGTTGTTTTGAGAAAAGCAGGTTAACAAAGTTTACAGTAGATGCATGAGCGTTGTATTTTAGAAGATTACTGTTGAAGTCACCTAAATGGAATAATTGCTTGTCAGCAAACAGCTTGAGTAGAAAGGACTTCCTGCAAAAAGTTGGTAATTTTTTTAAGATTAGAGCTAGGGTGGCGATAAGCACAACAAAACAGATACTTTTTACTATGTTTGTTTTCAGCATCAACCCATACAGTCTCAAAATCATTACTGTCTGTCTTTACCAAGATCTGCCCTATTAATTGGCGCAAAACAAGCCTTTATAAAAAGCCCTACTCCACCATTTTGGCTATGTGACTGACAAAGAAAAAGTCTATAACCAGAAATTTTAATAATCATCTGTATGGATTTGTCATAGGTATGCTAAATTTCATAAACAACAACATCATCAAAATCTACTTTGAGATTAACTAATGTCGAAACGAGCTCGTCGTAATGATGTAAGAGACTTCTGGTATTCATGCTTAGCAAAGACAAGTTAGAGTCTGAATAGCAGGTCTTAGCCAAGTCACCAGGAAAGTGATAACAAGAATTATTATTTAAACGCAAATGTTCATCTATATCATAGTCCTCTAAGTTAGGTAGGTTTGTAACACTTAATTTCAAATGGTGGTGTAGAGTCAACACACGAGGGTAGATCAAAATTAAAAAGGTTAGATGACTCCTCACACTTGTAGCGCTGAAAGATCACAAAGAACTTCGTAAACAAATTTCCATACAGAGTAATAAAGCCTGCACAAAGCGAAATGTACATCGTGACTAAAAGGATCCTCGAAGCATCTTAAACGAACTAAGATCGAAACATCTGCTAAACAACGGAAGAACGTCTCTGGTCGAATAGTTTCTGACGAAGTCTCATTTTGATTGATAACCTTCAAATGCTTACTATTCCAAACTGTCCAACCTTTTGCACTGTGCTTGGCGTTAGGGCATCGATGCATTAGGGTTGGAACGAATTCTAACGGCCTTTTCAAGCTTATCGGTCTTTACAAGCTCAGCCTATCGGCCTTTTCAAGCTTATCAGGGTTTGAAGCCACTTGCAGGATGACGTCATTTAATTTGCTACTTCTTTAGCACATGGAGATGTATCTAGGGTTACCTGCTAGGTACAGGCACAAAAAGAGATCTACAATTTTCATATATATGCAGAACCATTTAAAGTTTGATCAATTAAAACCAGGTTTTTTCTGGCAAAGAAGCCGAATAAACTAGCAGATCTTACTTTGCTAATCAACAGATAACAACTTATGCTGTCTAGAGTTTAACGGGTGAAATACATCATCAAACGTCTTCAACTCCCCTTGCACCAATGGTTAAACTAACAGGGTCTCTGGCGATCTGAAACAAAAAATTAATATTTGAAAAACTTAATAGCCTAAGTGACATTCTTTTAATAGCCTAAAATATTATCAGGTTGATCCAGTTGAATTTTTCGGTACGGCAAAGATTGAAGATGACATCAAATAGTGGAAACATAGGCGTACGGGTCGAGTTCAGAGGGGATGGTTGGTGGCTTAAATATTTTGTCTAAATCTTCACGGAGCAAACTCAACACATCTAATAAAATGAGGCTAACTAATTAGCATTTATATCTCCACAAAATATTTTAAAATATTGATCTTTACAAAAAGGTTTCGCTTTTTCATTAAAACTCAAACTCAAAAACATGTTTTCAGCAAATCAATTAATTACATGTTACGTCTTTTAAGTAAGTTGTTCAAAATTCAATTATTAAATCCAAACTTAAAATAAGAACATTAAAGAAAAAAAACCTTATATATAATTAAATCAGCCGACGGACACATGATAGAGCTATCAAAGCTCAAGATAGAGCTGTCAAAGCCAAGTGCCCGGTTGACGTGATTTGGGCGTGATTTGGGCGTGATTTGGGCGTGATTTGGGCGTGATTTGGGCGTGATTTGGGCGAGATTTGACGACGATTTTACAATTCATTTTGGTTTGAATAACAGTGAGAATGAGATAATAGAAATGTAAACGAAACTAGAAAAAAAGCAAAGGAAATGAATAAAGAAAAAAACTACATTAAAGATAAAAATGGGAAAATTAGGTTTATTGTATGTGCTGGTATTTTCATCATATTCGATTGGGTAAGACTTTGTAAAAGGTAGTGTTTCATTTTATTTTTGAAAGATATTTTGTTGTTGGCTTCCTTCAAATCTAGTGGCAAAGAGTTCCAGAGGTAAATACCGTCAAATGTAAGAAAATTTCTTTTAGAGTTGGTTGACATTGCTTGTAGGGAAAAACCAAAGCCTGAAGACTGTCTTGTATTGTAACGATGAATTTTTTTGTTTTTAGACATTCATGTCCAAGACAGTGGCGTAGCGTCCGGGTATTCAAGGTATTCAGTGAATACCCTGAGATTTCTCAGAAAAAATATTGATACGACGTATATTTGTAATAACTAAAAAATGTTTTGAGGCAATTGATTCTGGTTGAATTCATTACCTTCGATTTTCTACATTTTGTAAAAGTACAAAATATCACGAAATTCATGGAAACAACACTGCGACGCATAGAGAGGCTGGGAGATCTTTGAAGATTGAGCTACTTCATGTTGAATGGAGATCGGTCATGAATACGCAGTGAATACCCTAGACGGTACTTTAACCAATCAAAATGCTCCTTTCCATGAATAATATTTGCCGTTAATCAGCTAAAACAATGGTCCTGTACGCTGAGAAATATGCAGCGTACAGCCTCAAAGTTGGTTCAAAATAGTCTCGTTTTGAGATCGATATAAACAGATAATGGACGTCGGAGCGGTTGGAGTGATGGATCTTCATCGAAAACAGTAAACATGACTTCATTCAAAAGCTATTGCAATATCCGCATTACTGTTTCATAATCATTCTCTCATTTGACCCCTAATCTTAATCTACCAACAGCAAAGTGGAAAGGTAAGGTAGGCTTCTACATAATACTACACTGACTCAGATCTGTGCCCTCTTGAAATGTCAATTTTGTTTTTGCTTGTCAATCAGGGATGCTTCTAATTGTGTTATGAGACGGAATTAAAGTAAATGCAGATAGGCCTGGATAGTATCCTTATAGTTGCCTGGTGTATTCAGTTATCTTGTTGGCCTATTTTGTTTGCATTATTCGAGCGCATTTATTTGCATTATCGTGCAGTCTCATCTCATTACCTTCGATTCTTTCAAACATTAACTTGTATTGAAAATATCACGATTAGGCCATGAAGAAAAAGTCTAGACTGCATACCACAAGCTATTTATAACTCGTGTAATGCCCTATGTGAATAATTTTGAAACTTTTGAAAGCCCTTTTGTATTAAGGTATCAAGGTTAGGTGTTTACAGTTACTTCCTCTTTACATCAGTGCAAATTTTAGAGGATTCAACAACAACTATAGGGACATATTTCGACCAGCAAAATTTTACTGATTTTCAATGATACGTTTTGATTTGAATTACTTTTGATGAAATGGAATTTTGATGCAAAGAATGAGTTCGAAGAGTATATTTGCATTGGGTCCTTTTAGCAAAGTATCGTTTTCATCATAGTAATGCCCTGACAGTGCAGTACTTGCCAATCGAACCAAAAAGAAAAGTGTTAAAGTAATAGATTAAATGTCAAAAGCTAGTCCTTTTAATCTTCCTATTATCCCTCTATTTTCATCAAGCCCCATCGAGCCACACTCTGCCCCACCCTTTTGTTTAATAGAGAATACCCAGTTGAAAAAGTCACGCTACGCCACTGGTCCAAGAGTAGTGTAACTGATGTCTTTATTAATTTGCAACATAAATTTTGCTGTCCCAAGTTTGTATAGTTTGTCAAAGTTCAGTAGCCTTAAGCGTTTAAAAATGGGGTCACTGTAAGCAGTATACGGAGCAAAGTCAGTAACTCTAATAGCTTTTCGTAAGTTGCGTTTCAGGGGTTAAAAGAAGCACGAATCTCTTCCACAACGGCAACCAAATATTGTTTTTTATCGATTTCGATTTTGAGAATGAACTTTGAATAATTGTATTTGTTTTTAATTCGGGAGACCTTCTTGAGCCTCTGATGTCCCATGCTGTTTCGGAGATATATTTTTTATGCACCTCAGTTAACTCAGTGATCGCTCCAATGGGCATGATGTTGCTGAACGGGGAACTGAAGCCGGACTTTATCATCATTATCATCATTATCATTTTCCAAGGGCGCCAAAGCCAGTTGGGAAGTAGGCGGCCAAGGGCAAATTTAAAGCTTAAGCAAATGCTCTATTATTTCTGAAAAATGGGGAGGGGTTCGTACATTCCGCATTTTGCCGTGTTGCCCGACTTGTTTCACTTCCTGCCTTTAGGTTTCATTTTTCATGTTCTTTCTCGAAGTCAGTCAAAATTTCATGTCTTTTGAGGCTTGTCTTAAACTGTAGACAGTAGAGTGTGGCCTTGAATTATGTCAAATCCATTTTTCATTGTCTCGCTTTCTGCAAGAATGTCCTTTACATTCAGATTTATTTCAATCCAGCTTCTGGTCAACATTTTCCGAAATTTGAGTTTCGGATAATGAAATTTCCGAAGTTATCTCATTAGATGATTTTTCTCTTTGTAGATATGATAGGAGTAGGCAAGGTGGTGGTGTTGCTCTCTATATCAGAAATACAGTCAGGTTTAAGCCCCGGGTAGATCTTCCTAATAAATCGCTTGAGTTGATTTGCATAGAGGTAGAGCTCCCGAATTCAAATCCGTTCATTTTCATAGCTTGGTATAGACCACCCAGTGAGCCTAATTCTTGCTTTGACAGCCTTCATGAAAACCTGAGCTTTCTTGATGGAGAGGGGAAAAAAATTATTATTCTAGGAGATACTAACTGTGATTTCTGTTATAGAGACAATACTCCGACCCATATTTTGCAGTTACGTGAGCTGTACGACCTTTTTGATATGAAGCAGATTATTAAAGAGCCCACTAGGGTCACGCCAGACAACTTTGATTGATCATATAGCTACCACAAACTGTAACAATATTGCAGAGAGTGGAGTGCTTAAGATTAGTGAGAAAATTCCAAAGAAAGCCAATCCACACTTGTCTGGTGAATACCCGTTTGAAACTCCTCCATTAAGTTTTTCCTTTTCGGCCATCATGGCAGATAAATTATCATCAACCTTGAATAAGATGAAGACATCGCATGGTTCAGGTCACGATGGCATTGCGAGCTTTTATTTGAAGATTGCTTTGCCAGTTGTTGGTGGGTCCTTGTGTGATCTCTTCAATAAATCATAGTTTGCAGGAAAATTTCCGGAGGACTGGAAAATAGCGCGTATTGCACCCATCTTCAAGAGTGGCGCAAAGGATGACAGATCGGATTATAGACCAATATCAGTTCTTCCTTTCATATCTAGGCCATTTGAGAAATTAATTTTCAATCAGTTTTATGAATACCTGGATGCGAATAAATCACTATATGAGCATCAGTCGGGTTTTCGACTCTTACACTCGGTAGCCACAGCTCTTCTGGCTAGCACCAATGATTGGTACCTGAATATAGATAAAGGAAAATAGACTGGTCTAGTCTTTATTGACTTGAAGAAGGCTTTCGACACGGTCGATCATAAAATCCTACTGGAAAAAATGAATATGTACGGAGTGACCGGCCTGGAACATGACTGGTTCACATCATACTTGGAAAATCGTAAACAATTCTGCAGGGTGGATGGCACCTCCTCTGATGTTAGGGGAATAAATTGTGGAGTTCCCCAAGGCTCTTGTCTTGGTCCACTCTTGTTCCTGATTTACATCAATGACTGGCCTTTTTCCTTGCAAAAATCTCATGTCAGCATGTATGCTGATGACACGGCCATTTCCCTCTCTTCAAAAAGTATTGGTGACCTTCAAAATGACCTAAACTTAGATCTTTTGAAACTACAGGATTGGTTGCATGCAAATAAACTTTCCTTGAACGTAGTGAAAACGCAGTCACTTGTTATAGGCTCTGGTCCAAACATCCGTAAGATCGAAAGCCAGCCTGATGCTCCACCATCTTTTTCTTTTTCAATAGGTGATCAGAACATTGAAATGATCACCAACACAAGATACTTAGGTGTTCAGATAGACAGTAAGCTCAACTGGGACAAGCATATCGATACTATCAAGACCAAGGCTAATCGAGCCCTTGGACTTATTAAGTATTCTAAGAAATATCTTCCATCTGACATCCTAAACAAAATGTATAGAGGAATTGTTGAGCCCCATTTGAGCTTGAGTTCGTTTTCTCTTTGGACTCCACAACTAGGTGAGAAGGAAGCGTCTTCTTGCTACTTCAATGCCTGCCAAAAGTACTTGGAACACCCACCAATTTACGCTGCATTTGATATCTTTCATTCCTTTCATGAAAAAAAATTGCTACTTCCGCCCCCTTCCCTCTCAAACAATGTTGATGATTTAGAGAAATATCATAAAAGAAACGCAAAAGAAAGTGCTTCCTAAAATCCTAACCCGTTTGATAGTAAACCAACATTGTTCCGTGGGGGAGAGGGGGATGATTGGTTTTGACCTTGGAAATTGATGTCAGTGTTCCAAGACTTTTGGCAGGCATTTTTCATAACTTTTCGATTCAAAGCTTAATATAAACTTTCGGCTTATCTCTGGTTAATACCTGACTTTTATACTCTTTTGAGTGTCGTATTTCTCAAGACAACTACAAATAAGTATTTCTCAAGACAACTGCAAATAAGCATGCAGGTTACGCAATTCTTATCGTAAAGATGTTCTCGCTTTGTATAAATTAGTCCAAAAATTATCTATTAGACTGGTAGAACTTTCCATAACAAAACATTTCAATACAAGACTCTCCTCGTGTTCTTTAAATGCAATTTCTTGAATTAGCCTGTTCGTGGTTCAACTCTAACTTGGGTAACATAACACAAGGACTTTATGTTAATGGTTTGAGCGGAAACAAGCTGGCTGTATTTTTTGGAAAAATAACGCAAAAATGGCGGGTCATTTGTTTGGCGAATTCTAAAAAAACTGGAGTAAACAATCAGTGGATCCTCGGGTCGAAACAATCGGAATAACCGTTTGCAAACATGTATTCGTATAGATGAATGGAATAGTTAAAAACAAACGGAGACTAAAACTTCAGATCGGGGCTACGGCTGTTGCATTTTGTCCCTTGTCTCATCTTGCCCCGCGTTGCAAGATTCATATAAAATAAAATTACTTCTATGATAAAACACTAGGAGAGCCCTTCCATCCATTCAAAAGGATTGCGTTCCTACCAATCAAAAAATTCCTGTCATTTATGAATTTACGTGCCAGTGTGATTCTGGCTACGTAGGACGCACAACCAAAAGATTGGGGGAGAGGATAAAACAACATGTTCCTTCCAACATAAGAAACAAAACTGCCCCTCAAAGAGAACAGCCTCCTCGATCTTGTAGGTCTAGAAACACTGTTAAAACAAGTGATTATGCCATCGGCAACATCTTTTAAACAATCCAGATTGTGCAAAACTCTATAACGACGGCATTATTCGGATAATTGCCAGAGCCCGGTCGTCATTCCATCTAGCAGTTTTGGAGTCGATCTACATACAAACAAAAAACCGCCGTTGTCTAGGCAGAAGGAGTTCGTTTTCTCTCTTGGACTCCAGTGGTAATTTTTCTTTAGGCTCGCGGCACTGATTGGTCAAATATACCGGTCTTGTGGTTGCGTTTTTCTGATTGGCCTTTTTCGATCCACAACTGAGTATAAATTTTTCATCGTGTTCTTTCGGACCCTGATTCTGACGTGTTATGCTCTGAGGAGTGTCAGACGCAAAAGCTTTTAGTATGCTGTAAAATGTTTGCTTTTTTCAAAGCCATTATAAACCATTTAATTAGAATACTATTACAAGTAAACGCTTTGGGAACGAAACAAACTCACGTGAATGTTGCTTTTTATTAGCCTTGCATGGTATCTGTTAGAATATTCTGTTGTTTGGAGGAAAAGTCGGGTACTTGGCATCGATTTCCATGTTTTACCAAGGGCAGGCTTATAGCCCTCGTTTGCAGCATCTTTGACAGCACTGTTGGTAACCTTTGAATAAAAATAACGTCTCTGCAAATTTTCGACAGTAAAGGGTGAGTTTCTAATAGTACCATAATAGTCAGAATGGATTTCCACTTGAAAAAAAAGGAAATATAACATCATAATATTAACAATAACAATAATAATAATAAAAATAATAATAATGAAAACATTTTAATTTTATATTTTTCTATATACAACTGTAACCTCACTTTACAGGTAGTTACTATCGGCTACAAGTCTAGCAATTTACAACAGTTTAATATTTACCGTAAATCCTCGAATATTTACCCCCTCCCCCTTCGAAAAAGCCCTCCCCTTGAATAAGCCCTCACACTAAAACTGCAAACTGTAAATGAGCCCCCCTCCCCTCGAATAAGCCCCTACTGCTACCGTATATTTTCGAATTGGACCCTCAATTTGACGGTTTTTGCCAGATGAGATTGCCTATGGCGTTTTATTTAATTACCACGACAAATTCGTACTTTTGGTAGTAATTAATTGAATGCTCATAACGAAATTCCTACTAAAATAAACAAGGTCTTTTAAATAATGTCTTCTTATTGTGTAAAATAATTTTATAAGCCCCCCCCCCTCGTATAAGCCCTCTTCTCGAATAAGCCCCCAGGGGGGCTAATTCGAGGATTTACGGTGAATAAAATCATAAGAGTTCGTAGTATCTTTAGAAGGAGAGCAGTTCAGGGTTTGTCCAAGTCTTATTGCGCATACAGAATATATAATAAGATGTGCATATAATTATTGCTGTTGTGATTGGGGCATTAGGATGTATATCATATTGTTTTGACGAGCACATGGAAAAGATCGGAATTGAGGTAAAGTTACAGGTGATATAAAAGACAGCACTGCTAGGAACAGCCAGAATTTTGAGACAGATATTGTCTATACAATTAACTTGAGATGACAGAATGGGACCTTTGTCAGCTTGCTGCTGACTGCTCCCTCCTATATTATACGGACCAATTAACATCTAGGTGTCTATGAATCACTTAGTTAGCCATAATAATAATAATTTCATTATTAAAGGTTGGCTGTTATTGCTAGCTCACGTGCTAATTTAAGCCAACTGAAACTTAAATAGAAGATACAATAAATTGAATCTAAATTACAAACTAGAGAATACTATTAAGGAATATAACTATAAATACCCTGAATTACCTATATACAATCTGCAGAAACTACAACTGCAATCAAAATCGTAGCTCTGATTTTTTTCTTTTGAAGTTGTTAAGTGTCTGGGAATCTTTTATAGAAGATGGCGGCATAGCATGCCATATCCTAGATCCAAGAAAACATGCACTTTCAATATCATACCCCGTTGTTTCTGGTTTCGGTGCAAAAATATTACTGCAACTTCGAAGGTGGTAAGGTACATCTTTCAGGACGAAAATTTGTTTCATGAAAATAGGATTGAGATTGCTTTGAGTTTTTAGAGATTTCGGTAGCAGGCAACTCTAAATTTCTTTGGTGAATAGAAACCGATTCTGCTTTTTTCAATTAATCTTCGAAACTAGAACAACTATCCTTGTATGTGATTCTCAGGGTTCTCTCGTGGATTTTGTTTATTTTCTTATTAACCGACCTGTCATGAAACATCCAAATAAGTGGACAATAGCTAAACTGGAACATTACAAAAGTATTCATCATAATCCTTGACTTTTCAGCATTCATGTAACTTGAAATACGTGCAAGCGCATGCAGTTTTGTACAGCTTTTTTACCTATTGCATTAACATGACTCTAAAAATCAAGGTTCTTATCCAAGGTTACACCAAGAAGTTTTTCCTCGACTGATTCTGTTACCATAGTCTCACCAATATGTACTGACACGTCTGTATTTTCCCCCCGAAAATCAAAAGATAACATCTTTCAGGGTTTAATATCATACTATTGTCGTAGAACCACTTAGAGATCCTGTTCAAGCTCCTGACCACACACACATTGAAAGAGAGGGGCAGTGCGGGTGAATGACTCGGCCTTGGGTGTTGGCTTGAAAGCACAACCCGATAGCTCAGCGGTAGAGCACTTGACGTACAAAGTCAGGGGTCGTGAGTTCGAGCCTCGCTCGGGTCGGTTATTTTCCCGCACTCTCTATTAACATAGATAGTTGTGTCATCTGCGTAACTGCAAATCCCAGTTTACTCCACCAGAAAGAAAAGATCGTTTAGAAATGTATTGAATAAAAGGGGTCCCAAAACAGAGCCTTGTGGCACACCCTTAAGTGATTCCTGCCAAGAGCTGAAGTTCCCATTAACCTTAACTCGCTGTTTCATATTCATATAAAGATAGTTATATGCAAGTTTTAAGGCTGATATACTGAAACCATACGCCTCAACCATATATTTTTGACATAGCTGGTAGAACTGTTATAGGCCTATAATTCTTTTTTACAAAGGCATCACCATTCTTTAAAAGGGATGTTATGTCTCCTTTCCTTAATTAATATGGAAAATTGCTTGTATTAACGCTTTCATTGATGAAGAAATGTAACGTTGGGGCAAACAAATCAGGATGCTCAGTTAGAATTTTCACGGGAATGCTACCAAAAGTTGAAGATTTTGTCGGATCTAAGTCTCTAAGCTGAGTTTCTATCTCCTCCAAGAAAACTTGTTGGAAAGAGAATATATCTCTAGCCTCAATTTCTTGCTTAATCAACTCCATGCTTGGATGGCTTTTATACATGTCTATGGCAACATCTACAGGGTCACAAGATTTGTTTGATTTTGTTAAATTCTGCTCTATTTCTGAAATTTCCAATCCAGCAGTGATACTAACAAAGTAATCATTTAGCATTTTGGCAATTTTCTCATCACCAGAGACCAGTTCATCATAACAAGCAATGTCATCAAGATATCGTAACGGGCAAACTATGCCATATCGAGACATTCTGTTGAAGGCTTACCATGGAACGACAAAGCGGGAAGCTAAAATTCAGTTGCATTTCAAGGTTTGGGTGTTTTTCAACAACCTGAACCAAGAGAAGGTTAAGCCAAACACATAGCAAACTTACGATCACTGCCAAATTGTGTTCAACTGCCAGCCGTTTAAGAATTCTTCCAATCTTCGTCATGATCATATGACCCTGTGTTTGGCCTCCGCCAAGAATTGGTGATACTAGTGCATTTATAGAGTCCACAACAACCAACCTCAAATCTGAGTAAAACACTTGTTTCTAGAAAAAACAGCTTCACGTGAAACGAGAAAAACGCAAAATCTTCGTTTAAAGGAACACTGTTTAAGAGAACTTCAATCTTATCTTTAAACTAACTTGGTCATGAGACAGGATATTAACCTTTCGATCGAGAGCGATATTGATGACGATGAAAGGAATTTTATGAAAACGTCAGTAGTTGAAAGACATAGAAGCAAATTGAGTGACGGCATAGATATGTGAAAGGTTATTGAGAGAGACATGTGGTTCTCGTAAAAACACAGTCTAAGATAAATAAGAAACATATATTGAGACAAAAAGGAGCAGTAGCAATTCTCAGAGTAATTTCATGATAGTAAGAAAGAATCTTGCAAAAAGCGAGGAACAGTAAAGGAGCAACAGGACAGGCAGGATGACTTGATTGTAGCATACTGCATTACAACAGGAAGTAAAACAGGTCAATATGGCAGAGATCTGTTGGATTGCAATCCAAAATTCATCACAAGTTAGTTCAGGTTAGAAAAATGAGCGAAGATGGAACCCTGCTTCTAGTGCTACTCTGCTCAAAGCGAAAGGAATTAACGTAGGATGAAGCTTTTCCTGAAAGTTTTTTGAGTGGAGAGACCCTTGAAAATCAGCATTGCTGAAGGGCTACCCTCCTTAAAAATATAAAATGAAACACATGAAGTTAAAAAGGTCGAAAAGGCCGCAAGGATCGTTTTTGGGAGCGAAAGATTTTTGAAAAAAAGTGGAAAGGAGAGAATCATTCAATTTAAACTGTACGACCACGAGTATATTTCATAAACAGTTCAAAATGTTTTCATAGAAATTTGGAGTTTTACTAAATTTAGTTGGACATGTAATCGTGGGTCCTTCTTTGAGAGGAGAATAGAAGATTTTACTTCAATTCAGCATTATATGAACTTTCAAACATTCGTCTCCTTGCCTTATGAGGCGAGTTCTCTATTGTTTAAAAGCACTATGTCCCATCAGTCAACCGTTCAGAATTAACAATAGGCTCTGCAGCGCGTATATGATCAAGAAAACATTGGAAATAAGCCGATTGGATACAACAGGTCTATTGTGTCATCCAACAAATGGGAAATTTAAATGGCCAGCGAAATGCGTCGGGGCAAAGTGCCTTTAAAGTGGTTTCATACAATAATGATCGAAAGAAAACTACTGTACCGGAATAGTTAGAAAAAATGTTTAAATTATTTCAAATTTTTTTACGATCGATTTCAATCTGTCGCGGGTAAATAAAACCAGTCATATGACCCTTTTGGCATCCAAAGCGCGTACGCAAATCAAAATCTGATCCATTCCGCGGATCAATTTCCCAGAGTGGGTTTTAGGCTTAATGAAAGTATCTCTGAAAAAATTGAGTAATAGCAGGATTTGAAAGAGATTAACCATTAAAAATGAAAGATATAAATGTAAGATTACCAGCGACTGAGCTAGCTTAGAAATCGACATCAATCTGACAAATATTATTATTATTATTATTTTAAAATTATTTACAGTAGGGGAAGCAAAATACGGTAAGACTCGACAAACGCTCCCGATCTGACAACGTTACCTTTGAAATCAGCTCTTGCTCTGTCTGCTCTATTTCAGCCAACAATCCTTCAGCGTTGAGCACCCGAAGCAATCGAATTCTCGAAAGTACACCATCAAAATGCTAAGAATAAAAATTATGAACCATTATTTGACCTAGCCTTCAGAACAGTTACTATTGCAGTAGATGAGTAAGTGAACTAGTTTATGAGTAGTTCATTATAAACATTCTTGCTCAAAGAAATGCTCAATAGAAACCGATGCCACATAAAAGATACATGAAAGTAGAGGCGAGTATGAATCTTGTCTTCATGTTGCTCCTGTTTCTATTTTCTAAAACGACGCAAAGTATACATAAAACAAACCATTCTAGGTCCAAACTCTAAATTATAAATCAAGAAGACTGACAAAGAGTGATAAATGTCCTTCTGCCAATTTTGTATTTGTATTTGTTTGCTACCTAGCATCCGAAAGTAGTTTTTAAGACACTGAGAAGCTTATGCTTATCGAGCAGTGTCCTTGTCCTTCCTCTAGATGGGACTGTGATGATTGTGTTATTGTTAACTGTTTAAATAGAATAACCCCAAGGGGACTTTATGCTCGTGCATAGTTGTTTACGACAGTTTTTTATTTGTTCTTCGAAGTTGAGTGTTCTGAAAATCAGACGCGTTGTTTTTCATGTCTCGTTTTTGCTAGGCCATGTTTTAAGGAAACATAACATTTTGGCGCAGTCAGTAGGATTTTCTTTCGAAAATGTCTGATGATGATAGTCCTGCACAGCCTGGACAAGCTTCTCAGCCACGGCGAGAGCAATACATTGGAATTCCAGCAGAATATGAAGCAGAACTGAGAAGATTAGCAAAAACATGCGATTTTACAGCTTCTACAGATGCAGCTTCGACACCATTACTACAGTCGCTCAGGGATCAGTTTGTTTTTGGCTTGAATAACGAAGCATGGCAACGCCGATTATTGCAAGAAACTGAAGTTTTGACCTTCACGAGAACCGTCGAAAAAACGAAAGCTGCCGAAGCTGCACAGAAGGATGCTCATCAATTTAACACTTTTTCAGCAAGAGGGTCTAGCGAGATTCACGCACTGAAGCCGGGAAGAAAGAAAGCGAAAGCTCAAAGGAATGAAGTTTCTTAAGAAAGACGAAATCTTTCGAGTGCAACTAAATCAGTGAAATGCTATAATTGTGGTACCGAGGGACATTTCGCAAGAAACTGCAGGGCCCCTCGTGCCCCTCGTAAGTTCTCGCAGAACCAAGTCAAGCATATTTCAGAAGAAACCTTGGATTTTGAAACATTATCTGTTGACTCAAAAGAAACAAATCATGTTGCTGAAAGTTTGAAACCATGTCCAAAAGTTGAAGCTTTAATTAACGGACACCCAGTTACTTTGGAAGTTGACACTGGCTCTGTTGTTACACTTGTCAATGAGGTTACATGGCGCAACTTACTTGATGCTCCAACATTGACACCTTCTTCTTTGGAATTAAAGAGTTATTCTCATGGAAGGGTGCCAAAATTGGGAAAGTTTGGTGCAAGCTTTGAAATCAACGGACAGCGAAAGGAATTTTGTGCAAGAGTAGTCAAAGGAAACGCCCGGAATCTCTTGGGGAGAGATTTATTGTGTCAAGTTTGCCTTGATTGGCAGTCGATTTTTGCTGTTTCTGTTCCAAGAGAAGATAAACTGGAAATTATGTTGAAGGAATTCGATGAGATTTTTGTGGAGGAATTGGGATTATGCAAGGGTATCAAAGCAAGAATCAATATGAAAAGTGATGCAACACCAACATTTCGTAAAGCACGTCCATTACCATATGCTATGAAGAAGAAAGTTGAGAACGAGCTTGATGGTTTGGAGAAAAAGGGAATCATTACACAAGTACAGTACTCAGACTGGGCAGCTCCTGTCGTTCCAGTTCTGAAAAGAGATGGGTCAGTACGGCTGTGTGGTGACTTTTCAGTATCGATTAATCCTAAGATGGAAGTTAATCAGTATCCTTTGCCTCAACCAAACGAAATGTTTACAAATTTGAATGGTGGCGTGCTGTTCACCAAGCTTGATTTTTCTGAAGCCTATTTACAAATAGAGCTGGATAAGGAATCGCAGAAATTAGTTGTTATTAATACGCATAAAGGATTGTTCCAGTATTCTAGACTACCTTTTGGAATCAGCTCTTCTCCGGCAATTTTCCAGCAAGTTATGGATAAGCTTTTTCAAGGATTGAACGGAGTGCAATGTTACCTTGATGACATCATAATCACAGGAAAAACAGAGGGGGAACATATGCAAAATTTACTAGCTGTTCTACAAAGAATCAAGGAATATGGTTTGGGATTACGGAAGGATAAATGTAGTTTTCTTCAAACTTCAGTAGAATACCTTGGTAATATTATTTCACGTGAAGGTATTCATCCATCTCCAAAGAAAATTGAAGCCATAAAGAAAATTCCTGAGCCCAAAAATGTCACTGAGCTAAGGAGTTTTTTAGGAATGGTTGTCTATTTTGCCAAATTCTTGCCTCAGTTATCTGAGCGTGCAGCTCCTTTGAATGAGCTGTTGAAGAAAGGTATCCCATGGAACTGGACTGCCAAAAGATCTGTTGCTTTTAATGGTTTAAAAGATGATCTGATGTCTATGTCAGTACTAGTGCATTTCGACCCTAGCCTGCCTTCAGGACTTGCCTGTGATGCAAGTGGTTCTGGAATTGGTGCAGTGTTGTTTCATGTTTTGCCAAGTGGAGAGGAACGCCCTATAGCCTATGCGTCAAAGTCGTTAACACCCGCAGAGAAGAATTATTCGCAAATAGAAAGGGAAGGATTAAGCATAGTGTTTGGCGTGAAGAAATTTCATCAATTTTTATGGGGACATACCTTTCAGTTAGTTACCGATCACAAGCCGCTGGTAACAATTTTTGGATCGAAGAAAGGTATTCCAACTATAATTGCAAGTCGATTGCAAAGATGGTCGATTATATTGTCTGCATATACTTATGAGATTGTTTATAAGCCAACTGCCAAACATGGAATCGCTGATGGTTTGTCTCGATTGCCTTGTGGCTTTGACCCACAGTTTGAATCTGGGCATGCGTTGGTGGATCTGGTAGAATACGAAGTGTTTGGGACTTTACCAGTCTCTGCTGAAGATGTAAAGGATGCTTCAAGGAGGGATGCTCTTCTGTCAAGCGTTATTGATGACGTATGCAAGGGAAGAAAAGTGAGCAAAAACTTGAACTTTAAAGAGGTTGAAGTAACTGCTTTTAGTAGACGTGAGGCTGAACTGACCGTGTGTGATGGAGTTTTGATTTGGAGATCTCGTGTTGTTGTACCTAAGGAGCTGAGGGGAAGATTGTTGAAGGAATTACATGCTGTTCATCCAGGTATTGTTCGTATGAAATCTTTAGCAAGGGAGCATTTTTGGTGGCCTTGTATGGATTCAGAGATTGAAAATGTTGCTCGCAGTTGTTGTGAATGTCAAGAAGGTGGGAATGATCTTCAAAAGGTGCCCCTCCATCCTTGGCAGTTCCCAGACAGGCCTTGGGAACGGTTACATATTGCTTTAGCAGGTCCATTTTGTGGTTTTATGTGGTTAGTTGTTGAAGATGCTTACTCAAAATGGCCTGAAGTGATCAAACTGAGAACTGCAACATCAACAACTGTAGCAGCAGCATTAATGAAGATTTTTGCTGTTCAAGGATTACCTGAGCAACTTGTTTCTGATAATGGACCACAATTCACATCAGAGGAATTCAAAGAATTTTGCAAGTTCAGGGGAATCAATAACTGCTACGTTACACCATATCACCCACAAGCAAATGGTCAAGCTGAGAGATTTATTCAAACCTTCAAGAAGTGTATGAACAAGATGGCAAAGAATAGCAAGAATATGGATTACAATGTTAATAATTTCTTGCTTACATATCGAGTTACAGAACAGGCAACAACTAATGTCTCTCCAAGCCAATTGTTGACGGGAAGAAAGTTACGTACTGGTTTAGATTTAATTCATCCTCGAGTAGAAAGAAATATCAATAGAGAAAATTCTGCTCTTATCAAGGAAAGAGTTCAAAAGTACAAGAGAAGCAGAAAGCTTATCACGATCGTACAGCGAAGATGAGAGAATTTGAAGTAGGAGACCACGTATGGGCACAAAACTACAAAAGAAGAGGACCGAAATACGTTCGTGCCAAGGTACTTCGCAAAACAAGCCCGTTGTCTTATCGAGTTTTTGTTCGTGATGGCTTGATTTGACGACGACTTTCCAAGCAACTGAAATCTCGAGTGGAAGCAAGAGATCAGTCAGTTGATTGTAATGAAGATGATCTACCGTTTTCTTTGTAAAATGGATCGAATGACCACAAAACTAACGCTCTAGAGACAAATGCTGAGGTGGAAAACCTACCGGAACAACGTAGCTCAGTTCGTGTAAAGAGACAACCTGACAGACTGAACTATCACATTTTGGGTGGACAAAATTAAGAGGGGAGATGTGATGATTGTGTTATTGTTAACTGTTTAAATAGAATAACCCCAAGGGGACTTTATGCTCGTGCATAGTTGTTTACGACAGTTTTTTTTTTGTTCTTCGAAGTTGAGTGTTCTGAAAATCAGACGCGTTGTTTTTCATGTCTCGTTTTTGCTAGGCCATGTTTAAAGGAAACATAACAGGGACCACACCTCGTGATTCCTATGCATGGAATTGCAAGGTTCTGGCGATTCTCCTCACTCTTTGAGTTACTTTGAGTCCCTGGCTCTTTGAGTCTGTGAGCCAGGGACTCGAACCCGGGACCCTTGGATTTTTAGTCAGCGCCTTTTGAGCCATCCTTGCACTATAACTAGGCCATCCTCGCACTACAGCTGAAAACTACAACCGAACTGACCCTTCTGCCAATTTATGGCACTCATCGTTTAGTAAAAAAACACATTTCGGAAAGTGCCTTATCACTTGCAATAAAAATTAGAGATATTTATGTGGAACAGATTTTGGTACTTCGGTGTTCTGCCTTTACCCAACAAACCCGAAACTTCGCACGCTGCTTTGCCTTTCTAATATCAGGGCACACCTGGGAACCAAAAGCTGACATCGGCTACATGCAGATGGCTATATCCAAAAAACATTTAATGGTCAACGTTAGAACATAGTCCCACAGGCCCAGGGCGAGGGGGGTCGGGTGAAGAACTTCCCATACTTGAACAAATGGGGTGTGCCGCAGAACAGGGTGCCTTTTCCGATAAAAACAATGGGACCGGGTATATAAGTCATTTCTTAGAGAGGTGATACAATACTTTAAAATAAGATGCAACCAAGTAGGGCAAACACGTGTCGGAATCTAAATTAGGTCGCTGTATCCAGGAAAAAACACAATGCTCTTGTCAATCATTTATAGCTAGCGGTGAATGAGCAGCCGCCTTGTTCATTCATGAATACTGCTACGTACATCATAAACACACAAATTAGAAGATTGTACTCTGTATTGTGTCGTGACCCCGAATATCCCCAAAACAATGAATGTTTAGCCTATGTTGTTGAGTAATTATGTATTAATCTTCCTTTTGATAAATATAGATCGTTGAAACATTATAGCCTTATTTAGGCTCTAAAAGTAGTTTTTTTGAAATCCTTGGATTTGTGTGTTTATGATGTCAACCCAGCAAAAACAAACTTCGTGCTTATACCCGTACAACCTTACAAGTTACCACAGCAATGCGCAAGTTGAAGATCTCCCATGGGCACGGCTTTGATAAAAATGCTTATCTGGGCAAAGCTTTCTGAAAAGTTTTTTATTTTTCCCTGTCTACAAGGGTGTTCCTAGATATGTAGCAAATCGCTTGAATAGACGCAACTGTCGACCATAAAAATTATCGCTTCATGTCAGTTCTACTAGCTTTTCCGCTTGTTGAAATAACCACTCAATGATCAGTTAGTTGTACAATTACTTAATTTCAAAACAGACTGGTGTTTCCGCAGAAATCAAGTTAGAAAAAACCAAACTCAGTCACTCTGATAAAATGCTCAATGACTTGTGCATTAACACAGACAGTGGAAAATATAAATAGACAACATTCATCGACAGAAAAAAGCCTTCAATACCGAAAGCTCGCTTTTTTGCGGAGAAAGATGGAACTGTAACTGCTCCTCCCAAAAAAGTTAATGCAGAAAATTGAAACAAGTCTTGTTGAACGGAAATTTCGATATTGCAGCTCGGTATGGCGCAGTGCAAAATCAAGGCAAAAGCTACATGCAAGCGTGCAGCCGGAATCCTAACCAAAAGGGCTTACTATGCCTCTGCTCTCCAGAGTGTAAATCAACTGGGATGACAGTAAATGAACAATGTGAGTATAAGGGAAACATGGCATTAAAGACTCATTGCTAACAATGAGCCATTGCGCTACGTAAGCATCCCATAATGCATTTTTAGACTGTCTAAAATCAATTACTGCCGTTGTTCGGACCGTCGCCACGCTCGCAAAGGCCCATTGTTAGCAATGAGTCTTTAAAAAATGTATAAAAGTATGTCCCCCATCTACGAAAAAAATTTCGCCAAAGTGCCTCCCTGCTAAGAGGAGAGGTTATGGAATGGTCTTGACGCGAAATAAAACTTAACAAAAACCTTTTAATTTAATTTACCTTCAAATTTCAAACCTTCACATCCAATTCTTGAAAACTCCAGAACATGAATAAACTATTTCTATTTTTTCCTATCATTCGATTACTTATAAGCTTCGGTAAAATTCCGTAAAATTACTTTTGCTTTGATATGAATTATTGGATATTTGGACGGTGAAAATTAGGACATTTACCTTTTTCTTTGTACAGAGTAGTTTGGAAAACAATTTATGTATTCAAATTAAAAGTTTCCTTGCTAAAAATTCAAAAATGAAAGAAAACAAATGCATAGAATACTGTCGTTTTCGGTAAAGTATTCCTATCCGGCAGTATTCCCAACTGATGGAAAGAAATTGCAGCCACAGCGTTACATTGCGCTATGACGGTCTAACGCCCTGCCCATGTGATGTTGATTGCGCATTTTAGGGATCATGTTTTGGCTTGTATATAACGTTCGCCCTTTTAATTGCTTAGATTCTACATCCTTCTTCTAACTGGTTTCTTTGTATACAGCCCCAAATCTGACTCACATGACTACGTAATTACAACTCTACCTGAGGATTGACGAATGCTTTGCGAGCGGTAACGATCTCAGCAAATCTGTCACATACAAATGACCCACAACAGTCTACAAATAGGACATGGGTGTCAGTTTCGCATACAACGTTGGCACAAACTGTTTTGCAGAGCTAAAATCAGAAAAAAGCATCAGGCACAACAAATTCATGGAAAGCAGATGAACCATCTGCCGTGCGTTCAATAAATTTATAAAAATATAAACTCTATTCTTTTCCGCGTTTTTGCTTTTCTTCTTCCTAACAATATCGAGAAAATATGTCACAGCACAGAAAATTCGATCATAGTTACAGAATCAGAACATGTACCTAAAATTACAATAGATCTATGTCGCCTGAGACTCTTTTTGCCTGTAGTATTGCAGTAACTGCTTACATTTATGACACAGAAGCTATTTAACTTATGACTTCAGGTTTAAAAACTCTAACTGACACCTGTGTTTTCCCTGCTCCTGGTACCCCACAAATTTCCACCATCTCTCCGGTCCAAAGCCCATCGTTTAGCAAAATGTCGAGCCTACAATTTGGAACATTTATCTTTAGCCAATACCGAAATCTAAAGAGCAAAGCTAAGGGCAGAAAGAAAGGCATTTGGAAACCTTACCAAATTATGTCGGAAGAAAGGATCTTATGCTTTCATCTTTTGTAGAAACCAAATTTATCAAATACCGAAGATGTTGGGAAGCTAAAATTTTCTTACAAATTATGAGAAGTTTAATTCTTGTTATTTTTATTACTTTCGTTGTACGAATAAGTGGTATAATTTTGGTTAACCAAAAAGATGGAGCTGGCAAAATTAATCATTTCAAAGTTCCTTCTGTTAAGGACAGGAAATAAAGAAAAAATAAAACTGTGGCACGTTTCAATAGGCATGCTAAAAATTATGATGTAAATCAAAAGTAACAAAACTTTTTTACAGAAAACAAATTTTTGTAAGAAAAAAGGAAACATCAGGAAGAGGAAATCAAAGTTCATGGACGCGTAAAGAGCCTAGCATTAGTAGAATGTTGATCACGTTGCTATTCAAGTAGCAATGAAAATAGAACTTACAAGGTTATGTTTCTACCTGCAAAGCTAGAGCACAAATTTTCATATAGGATGCAATAAAACTGTAGAAAAAGAAAAGTTGATGCGATGCATACTTACCCTTTACAACCTGCGAAATATAAGAATAGAAAATTAAGTATACGGAATACAAAAGGGGAGGGGAAATACTAGGTTGTGTTGCGGGGGGGGGGGAATCAGAAGGACAGATAAATTTAGTTGTATTGAATAAATTTCGACAGTGAAATATCAACATCCACAGCACATCTTGTAATTAACGGCACTACCTAGTAAAGAAAGTTTGCCTGATAGCCAAAAAATTACGAAGAGAGCTTGGGTAATATGAAAAAATGGCATATTGAGTAGAGGCAGGAGCTAATAAAGCAAAGTGGCAGTTTTCGTGAAGTTCACAAGTTCGAAAGAATACATCGAGGACAGCTTTTAGGAACGAATTACTTGCTACAACTTATTTTAATTAACAGCAAGCATTGTGATATGACATGACTCCTTGAATCCTGAATACGATATGATCTTATTCCGATAGTCTTATGTAAGAGGTAATGATTGATACAAAAAATAAGCACCTGTTGACAAAATGATTGTATTTCGAAGAGCCTTATTGAGCAGGTCGGCTGCATACGCCGGAGAGGCTGTATTCACCCCACTGTGCCCAGCCAACATCACCCTGCCAAAAGTATTAATAAATTATCAAAACATTTACAATCATTACAACAGATTTTTTTAAATGTTCTGTTTATTCTTTAGCCGTTTTCATAATTTAATCATACCCAAATAGCAATGATAATATTAATAATAACAATAAAGAAAGAGTAACTCTGACGAGTTGCCAAGAGTTTGAAAGGTTGTGAAAAGTAAGGTTGAAGTTGCTCCCTTTGTCTGGGTGCACTTGGAACAGTTTCAAGAAACTTAAAAAGTTATCTGAAGGAGATTGGTGTCAGCGTAACCATTTAGTTGATACAAATGTCTGCGCTTCTTGGTTTGACAAGAGTTCTAAGAAAAGTACTCGATGTCTCAGGTCACAGGCTGTGACTTGTTCTCGATATAGCAAACAAAATACAGTCAATTTGGAAGAACCTAACAATATTAATATAAAAAAACTGTTGCTTGTACAGGGTAATACCTTATCGTTGCATGACAGTACTGTTATCAACAAAGGCCCTGCTAAAATTTAGTTAAAACGGCGAAGTTCTCCAGCCGCGATAGAAAAATATCTGACAAAAGCTTTTTTACTCCCAAATGGAAGGGTGGTACCCTGCATTGACTTGATTGGTGGGAACATCCCTGTAATCGTTGTGAATGTTGTGAAAAACAGATGATGAATATGAACGTTATGGATTTTAAAACCTGTAAACGTTAATAAATGATTTTGATTAATATTTTACGATATTAAACTTTCGACTTGATGATTTTCAGTGGCGGATCCAGACTACCGCCATTACCGCTCGAGCGGTAGTCAGATTATTAAAAAAATTTTAGAAACAAGGATCGTTTTTATGTTTATCCTATTACTTTAATTAAACCATAATTAAAAATTGAAAAATTTGATCGCGCTGCAAACCAAGCATTCCTCCCTAAAGACATGCCTGAAATTGTCATCGAGACAGGAATGCTTTCAATCCCTATCGCTATGGAAATTGCGTGCCGAATGACCGAGTCACATGCTTGTAAATAAAATAAATAGCTAGCATGGGAGGATGATGAAATCATGGCTTGCTAGCTAGGGGGATTGAGTCGGTGTAGAGCGGATTCGAGCTGCACTGAGCGGTAGTCAGCCTGCCTAAACCAATCAAATTATCAGAAATCACAGCCAACCTGGGGGGATTCATACAAATTTTGTTTACAGCCAATGAACAACCGAGTTGACTACCGCTCAGATGGGTGGTTGAGTAGTACTGCCGCTCAGCACGGCACGGTTTTTCTGATTGGCCTATTTCGATCCACAACTGGTTATATATTTTTCCATCGTGTTTTTTCGGAACCTATTCTGACGTTTTATGCTCTGAGGAGTGTCAGACGAAAAAGCTTTAAGTATGTTGTAAAATGTTTGCTTTTGTATGATTCTTTGTTTAACAAAAGTTGCTCTCAATAATTGCAAATTTTATCTGGCTTTTTAAACTTATAATTTCCAACAGGTTTGATTTTCATAAATAATTGTGCAACTTAATGCGAGTTTTAGGCTACATTTCCAAATTCCGCCAAATGTATCTTTTTTTTCTAATTCTTTGTTGTTCCTCGGCTAAATACCGTAAATTTTTTTAGAATATTTATCCTCAGAATATTGAATAAGATTATTTATTTCTTCTCAAGCTTGTTGTAAGGGTACATGGAATATCAGTAAAGCACCGCTAGTCTCTTGAAAATGGTCTATATAAGAAATTATAGAAAGCAATAATCATTTTAGAAAACCGGGTGTGACCAGGAAATGGATGTGGTCCAAAGGGTGTGGTCGACCCTCTATCTCATTTCGGCGGTAGTCAAATTTTTGGCTGGATCCGCCACTGATTTTAAACGTAATAGTTTAATGTAACGGAATATTTGAAACATTGCGGTTTGAACAAATTTTTCCTTCACAGAGTTAGTGTCAATAGAATTCTCCAGTTTATTCTTCACTGAAATATATAAGAATTGAGAAAGGGGGGTGCGTCTTACACATGGTAAGACACTAGAAACTGTTTTTCAGAATTAAAACATGGAATTAAGGGTGCGTCTAATGCAAGGATACATCTTACATACAGCAAAATACGGTATATTTTCAAGCTTATTCGACGAGAATGAAACTTCTATGTCATCTGCTCTAGACAGACCTAATATCGGTTATAAAAACTTGAATTTTGCATGGATGATAGTGGAAAACAAGAAAAAAAGCAGAAAAATCCCTCCAACCGCCGTGGTGCGAAGCGCCGTAATATAGGGCAGCGGTAATATCTGTCGCCGTAAAATGGGGAAGTCCTCAGAAAAGGCTTTAAACGCGTGTTTTAGTCATTTTCCACTACATTTAACGATAGATCTTCGAGATAAAGTCTATCAAATGAAATATCTCCCAGATTTTTATCGATTTACCTCTTAAAACTTTCAAAAAATCTATCTTCGACACCCCAGTTAATTTAGGCCCGTTTTTCTATTGTTTCCTCCACAAATACGAGGTTCATCCGCGCGTCTAATTCACACATTCGCGCGAATATATGACTTCAGTGCAGTAAGATGGAGAAGTACTTTAAAAAACACGTAAAACACGTAAAAGGTAAAAGACGCAATATCTTAACTTCATCTTTAAACGTAAAGCAAAACTTAAAAAGTAAAGGATGATAAATTATTTGGTTTTAATAAGACTTTGAATAGTTGAGGGGAGTCTGATTTTTAATATTAGTGATATAGTATTCTAATTCATTTTTAATTATTGGCTGAATGTATTTTCAATTCATAGATTCTAAGACATTTTTCCTCAAAAATCATTCTATGTAGCTAGGATGGATGACTGTGAAATGAGCAGCAGCTGCATGAGTCAGTGATCAATGGCTTCAAAACATTTTTCCAAGATAAAAACTGTATTTGCTTGCAATTTATAATGCACTTGTGTGAATTCTATTCAGGTTATTTTTTAAATTTCTATGAATACAAAAACCAAAGGTGTAAAACACCAAATTATCAGTTTCCAATAAAGTTAAAAACAAAAAACATTGTACTCGTTTGTAAACCGAAAGGCCCATTTGTAAATTCTATTGATGTAATTTTTTAAATTTCTAAAAAGGATTTGCTTGGATATGATCAGTTCTGCTAAAACCATAATGGTATCTTGGTATAACCATAGGTACACAATGGTATCTTGGAATAAGTGGAAGGCTTTGGGGAGATACGTCAAATGACACAAGCTAAGCCTCTATCAGCCATTGCTATCATACAACTCCCTTAGAATTAAAAAACAAACTATTATTATTATTATTATTATTATTATTATTATTATTTCTAAGCTTTCTATGATATCCACTCGTACCACCTATTACATTTTTTGCTGTAGCAACAAAGCATGGACTAACCCTGAACTACTCCCCTTTCAACTACATAAATAACTATTTGTGAATTACGCTTGTTGTCTATTTTTATTCTGTAAACCCAGGCTAGCCAATTGCAAACTACCTTGTAATAGTGAGATTTGTAATTGTAGTTTAGGTTGAATTTAAAATAAAATGTTTTCATTATTTTCTATATATTTAAAGTAGGCATATAAAAATAGCTACAAAACAAAAGCTAATTCAAGCCTACTACAAAGTAAAATTGTTTAAAAATAAGTAAATAAAACTACATATATAACTTTTTAAAAGATTCTTATGCCTAATTTAGCATATTTTCAAGAAGCCTAGAGAAGATCAAATAAAAGTTGAATTTACAAAAGATGTAGTAGAAGCTGGGAACTTTTTTCAAAAGTACAGAAGCCATGCCCCTTTGTCATTCCAACATCCCTGCTTAGAAAGAAAGCATATTAGCAATGAAAGCACACCTTAAACATTGAATTTGACAAAACTCAATATATAACATTAAAATCTGGAAGATATTAAAGTGCTTGCCCCCCTTGATCTAAAAGAGAGGCACCCAAGACCATGTAAAAATTGACAAAACTCTGCAATGCATTATGTGAAGCTCGTCCTTAAGATCTACATCCTAGAGTTATATTCTTTCGTGCAGTGTATGCATGAGATAAGCATCTGCTGGGGTGTTTTGTACACAATAATTTTGGTGAAATGGCAGATCACCCCAACACAATAATTTTTCTGTTATTCTTTGTGTGTACTTCTCCATCATTCCCAAGGTACAAATTCATTGATATTTACTCTGATGAAGCCCTGTATGCCGGGGCGAAATATTAGTATATTCTTTAAATTTAATTTATTTTGAAAAGTTTATTTCGTGACATTGGATTCCTGTTGTCGTATTGCTTTGTTCCTGTATATCTTTCATAACAACACTCATTGCAAGATTCACAGAATCCAGAGGATAGCCTATCCTGCGGTTCTTCCTTCTCACACATCACAAATTCATTGCCTGACAATTATGGAGGCTAGCAGGGCAAGTTTGAATCAGGGCAATGATTGTATCTGAACCTTGATATACATCTGCCCTAGTACACCTTGCATATAGTTGGTATCATGGGCCCATGATTTAGATTTGAATGTAGTCACAGGTGTAGTGCTATCAAGGGAATTCTTGCACAAAATGTTGCAAAAACACTGGCTAAAAAGAAAAATTGACTTCTTTCTGGCATAAACAATATGGTGCATCAGACACTGCAGAGCGTGGCAGTTCTCGACAAGATCTTGTGTGTGCAAGAACAAATATAAATGTGTGCCTGTGTGCAAATAGTGCTGGAAAAGTTGTGCAATGTGTATACACTGTTCGGTTTTGATCCAATGTGTGCAGCAAGTCTCTAATGGGCAGAGTATTTGTCAACTTGTTTCACAAATGTGTGCACAGAAATTATTTTTGCAAAAGGGCTTTCAAGAATTCCACAAAATTTTGACAGATCATAATTTAGCATGAGGTCAATCATATAATTTGCATGATTAAGGTTCAATTATTTCTTGTACTTAGTCAAACTTCCAGGTGAAGGTGTGGGATTGAAATGTAACCCCCTAAAAGTTCACTCAGTCAGTTGATTTTAACATATTTCAGTCCACAGAATGATCTCTCCCTTTGTAGTTTTCAAAATAATCTTACTTTCTTTGATTCAGACCTTTTTGTGCCCTTTGTTAGCAGTAGCTGGCAAGGCCTCTTCTTAACAGCCCTTGCTTAGAAAATGAGAATAAATCCAAGACTGTAGTTTCTCAGAGAATTGGAATATGCTAGTCAGTAGATTTTTAATTCTAGGCATCAATGGATTTAGGGCAAGCATAGGTCATTTCAAAATATCAAATCAAAATACTGAGATATGAGATGATTCCAGGGCAATTCTTCAGTAATATATAGGTTCTGGCCCTTAAAAGTTTTCCTGGGAGAATACCTCAAGACCCCCCTTCTTTTAACTTCACAAAGCCTTCAGATTTCATTGAGCAAACCCAGAAAAGCCAATTTTTCATTCGCTTCACAAAGTGAAAAGCTTCATATTTCATTCAATTCATTTGCATGCCAAGCTTTTCAAATCAGGAGGAGATTATCATCTAGAGAAACCCAATCTTCTCACAAAATGCACATGGCTAAAAGTGGTACAGGTTCTCTAACTTGGTTATAGACAGCAACTTTTTCAACTTGTGACAATCAGATGGTTCTAATGCTGACCAACACAAGTTAAAGTTGTTTTAAGAATGCAGGGCCGCTGAGGGGCGGCCTGGGCCCTGGGGCAAAGTCCCGGTTGGGGCCCTAAAGTCGGATAGCTTTATGCAACGAGTCTAAATGCAAACATAACTCACTTGAACCGGCCATAGATTAAAACAAGATTATATGGGTTACTTAATTTTTTATCAGGGCTCTCTTCCCCCAAAGTACGATTTTGCGAAACTCAGGAAAACTCAGCTTAAAAGATGAATCTGTAAAATATGTGATCTAAGGTCTATTCAGCTTTTCTCGGGGCCCCAGACTCAATAAATAAAGCTGGTAGGCCTTAAATTCAAACAAGACTCAGTGTACAGACCCAATGAAATTACTGGCATCATTTCCGATCTCAACAAATATATCTTTAAATGCATTTTCAGTTTCTCATAAGAAGAAATTTTAAAAAAAATTCCAGAATAATTTGCAGGCCCCTTTCAGGCCGAGGCCCTGGGGCAAATTGCCCCCCCTCTCTGCGCCACTGTATGAATGATACAATCCCAATTCGTCAGCATTTCAAAATTTCCAAGAAAATGTTGTTTAGACCAAGATAAGAAATTAATTTTTCAAAAAGGGTGGACCTTAAACTTTCCCAGTACAGAGAAAAATGTGATAGCAGCCCTATGTTTTGTGTGCATTGGACCAGCTTCTGAAAAAGTCTTGTGTGTGCACATGCCACACTCTGCAGACTGGCAGTCTTTGCCATACACCTTGCCTTCAAGTAGTTCAATGTACATGTAGTTCAATTTTACATGTATTGAATGTACCATTGAATTGGTGTGGCTGCTTTCTTCAGGATAAACATGAAACAAAGAGAGGAAAATTAAAGTCAATATTGGTCAGCAACAATTGCTACTGCTTCTAAGCAACCAACCTTTTTCTACGTGGTCCTCTTTTAACTTCATTCGCTGTTGGCTTCTCTCGTGTCACGCAGAAAGCTTACTTTGTTTGCCCCGCTGCGCTATACTTTACTTCGCGCTAGTGGCCACTGACCAACTCACTAACACCTTGGACCCTGGTAACAACATTCAGAAATGCAGAATCAAGAATAAGAGATGTATATTATTCTTAAGATGTTCCAGAAATTTTTTCCATAACATGAGATGTCCCGAGTTCCCGTCAAAATTCAATAAAACCCGTCGAGATGGCGTCTGCCTCTAGTGGGTGAAAATGTTATTACATCAAAGAGAGGCGATGCGTCGGGGTCCAGTGAGGTGTCGGGGGCTCATTGACTTTCAGTTGCAACTCAGCCATTGGGCTATCAGGGTCCTTGACACGCCCGTTTGCGGTATTAAGGTTTTATTTTTTCTGCAGCCCAATTAAATTCACACCATTTACAATTAAAAATGTGGATTTCTACACATGGCTGTATCCTAATCAAATAAAACGAGAACCACTTTGACAGATTATGACCAATCCAAATTCTTTTTTAACATCTAAATCAATAACTTACCTTCAGCAGCAGCAAATTCTTCAGATCTTATTAGTATCTTCTGTGTTCAAAAGGCTTTCATACGATAGAAAACGTGCTCACAACAGCTTTTTATGAGCTATTGCTTACAACAGCTTTTTATGAAGCTGAAGCAACATGCAAATGCTGAAACCTTTAACAAAATGATCAACTGGCTTTTGGTTCTATTCTAATGCCAGAAATAAAAGGTGAGATAAAGGCACAAAATTACATGAGAAGCAGAGATTTTCATTAAAAAATACAATGAGGCTCATTCATTATACACTAGACTGATAACAAATCACTACGAAGTTACAATATTACGACAAAGTGCTGACATTAATATATTTCAAGCTGCATTATACCGTAGGCAACAAAGCCATGTTCAAATACAACTGAACATAATTTCCAATACTCAACAAGCACAGAAACTTAGTTGTCCTCCACAAATTGGGAAGTGTTAATTTTGTGGCCCCTACTTGAAGTCCTCATCATCATCATCAGGTAGAGGAACCTGCTGTGCATCTTCGATTTCTTTTTGGTACTGGGCTGCCAATGCAGGATCCATGAAAACAGTTGGGGGTTCTAAAGCTGGCATTTCAGTGAAATGTAGATCTGGTTCCCCACAGAGCTTTCTTGCAAGACACAAAAATGGTTTGTCAAAATTGTAGTTGCTTTTGGCGCTGATGTCGTAGTACTAAAGTGAAGAAAAGTTACTCTTACCACATTTTAGAGTTGAAATCTTACATTAATATTCAAGCAGAAGAGCTATTAGGGGATTCAAGCAGCCAGATTTCCAGGTCTCCTTGGAAGACAGCAACAGCCAAAAAATTTGGCTTTATATTTTGTGAGAGCTTTGTCTTGATAGCTGCTACTTGATAGAATCATACCATCAGATGATACACATGTTAAGATTTCGCTTTTGGCCATAAAACATGATACCACTTCATAAAACAAACACCAACCTCCAGTGGTATATAAAAGCAGGATACCACTTGAAGGGTAGTAAAACACTTAAAGGATATGTTCAACAGGCCTATACAGCCTCCAGTGGTATAAAAAAGCAGGATACCACTCAAAGGTTATGTTCAACAGCCCTATACAGCCTCCAGTGGTATATAAAAGCAGAATACCACTTAAAGGATAGCAAAACACTTAAAGGGTATGTTCAACAGGCCTATACAGCCTCCAGTGGTATCTTAGCAAAAACAAAAACAAACAAAGCTCATGGCTAAAGTTGCACTACTAACCTGTAAATTTTTCTTCCTATGAAAATTTATCTGCTTTGCTTTGACCTTTCTGTCTTTCATATCAACCTTGTTTCCACACAAAACAATTGGAAGGTTTTCACACACTCGTACCAAATCTCTATGCCAATTTGGTACATTTTTGTAAGTGACACGTGAAGTTACATCAAACATTATAATTCCACATTGTGCAGCAATGTAGTAGCCATCTCGCAATCCACCAAACTTTTCTTGACCAGCTGTGTCCCAAACATTGAACTTGATGACACCAAAGTTAGTGTTGAAACATAATGGATGAACCTCAACACCAAGAGTCGCTGAGGATAAAAAAGAAAAAGTTTGTTCAATAAACGCTTTTTGATACTGTTCATTTTTTGATACTGGTAAAATTTTAAAAAAATCTAACTTTCAAAAATACCAACAACTAATACAATATAAGCCATTTCTGTTTTGATTCAGTTGTGTGGATTTAGTGCTGACTCAGCTTGCTCTCTTTGTATTTAAATACCAGATTTTTCTTGTTTATGTCAACTGCTTAGGTCACTAGAAATGACTCAGAACATGTTTGCTGAAGGAACATTCACAAAATCTGCCATGACAATTAAAAGTTTTTAAAAAAAACCTATAGTGCAATATTACAGACCATTACTGTTCTGCTTGAGTGGTCAATAGTTTGCTTGATAAACTTTGAGCGAGAGCTGACCTAGAGGCAAGGGGCAATCACTTGCATCAAATTAAAGGGACTCTGTGAAGAATTGCAATTCAAAGCAATAGAAATGTGCTGCAACGGAAAGTAAAGTTTTAAAGATGAAGTAACAAGGAAAAAACCAATTGGGCTTTCCCATACATCTTACCAACATATTTTTTCTCAAATTCACCAGTGCTATGGCGCTTTACAAATGTAGTTTTTCCTGTACCTCCATCACCAACTAGGACAAGCTAAAAGCAGAAAAAAGCCTAATTATAGATAAGTTGACACAACAAGTAATCAAAACACTTTATATGTTACAATAGTGTGGAAAAGAGCCTAACCCATAAAAATATATATATCATGAAACTTAACAGGGGAGTTTTAAAGACCAAAAGAGTTTGTTCAAAACGAAAACAAAGGTTTCTATTATTGTGTGTGTATGGGGGGGGGGGTAATAACCAAGTCAAAGAGGGGAAATTGTGAGTGGCAATTAACATTCTTTACCAATGAAAATAACACCACTACTAATTTATAATGATTATAAAATATTGAAGTGCACCATATCAGCTATGGATATAAGCATTTGTTCTCCTAAATGGAAGAAATCTCCTGTTTTGGAGGAATGCATCCTGTTTGGGAGGAATGCATCCTGTTTGGGAGGAAAGCATCCTGTTCGGGAGAATTCAAATCTTTTGCAGCTTAAATTTTTCTCTCCTGATTGGGATAATCTTTCCTTTAAATGGTTATTTTATGATTAAAAAGGCTTAGGCTCCTTTTTCTGATCCAATATTTTAATTCTGCATGTCAAAAAACGTAGGTTTATCTGGGAGAAGGGGTGTCAAAAACCAAAATATTTTGGGTGCTGTCATTTTTGTAGGACCCCTAAAAGGATTTCCAGGTAAAGTAAACATAAGGTTGCCATCACCTGAACCTTTTCTTTCCTAGAACAATCCCTATAACAATAGAGAAGGATGTCTAGAAAACTTCAAATGCAAATTCTGGATGATTTTCAGGGGTGACCTACTATTTTATTCATGGATTTATATAAATATATGTGTATTTCATTTTATTTTATTTATTTTGAATTACCATGGATTCTCGTCGCCGTTTTGCTTTCTTCGTGAACTTTGTATACGTATTTGACGGTGTGGATTTCAAAAATGATGTTTTAAATTCCCGATAGAAGTTCCTTCATGCATTTCTGTGCAAAAGGTTTTGTTTTTTTTCCTCATCGGGAGAAAAGGTAAGTATGATTTCTTCTCCGGTTGGGAGACATTTTATTGAAACTTCTCCCAATCGGGAGACATTTCTCCCGAACAGGAGAAAGCTGCCGTAACTGTTGACATCTCTGTTGGTACAAAGCACTTCAAGTGTAATTATATAGAGGCTACTGTTAGGTGCCTTAAAGGATTGAACTCGACAAAGAACACTTTAAGTGACGTACTATAGCAAAATTACTTTCTAATTTTTAGACAAGAGCATGGAAATGGAGGCAGCCACCAAAAAGCGGCCTGACAAGAGCGAACCTTTACCTGATAGATATAGATTGATTTTGCCGAATCTTGACATAAGAATATGCTTAAATTGGGGGTAATGAATAAACTCAGGTGACATATTCTTCCAATCCAAGCCAGATAAAAAACAAGCAAAAAATACGACAAGAACAAGTCTAAACACGAGTACTCACTTTGAAAGTGGCATCAGGTTGACCTTCAGACATTTTGTTGACTCTTTTAAATTACCGTAGGCTAATATGGTTTGCTAATTGCAAACTCCAATGAAGATTCAAGTGGATAACTAAAACTGCCAGTACCTTCCCGGTGCTTCAGTTCTACGGCCTTTAAGAGCGGTTCAATCCGGTTCCTGATGGCGCGCAAAGTCAAGAGAAAAGGTCCCGTATGCGGGCAGCCTCACTTCAACATACGCAATCTCACTTGAAAACTCAAACTCTAAATTTTTTTCAGCAAGCAAAAAGTTAATTACCATGTACTAATTTAAAATACAGTTTTTAGAAATTTAAAATTAGAGCAATAAGTAAGATAAAAAAACAAATTGTTTTTTATTATGATGAGCTATCGAGTCTTGTGTAGCCTGAGTTACAGACCTCAAACTGGGGCTCAGGCTAGTCATGTGCACCATCTCCATCTTCTCAAGCTGCAGGATCTTTTTGAAATGAAACTGCTGTTGCTGATATTTGTTTATGAGTCAGTTAATAAACTTTCTCCACCTTGTTTTCGTTATTTTTTTTCTATGCTTTCGCAAGTTCATCAGCATGATACCAGGCAAGCACGTAAAGGTGACATTCTTCTGACACACAAAAACACCTTACAGTATGGATTTGCCGCAATCAAAGGGTAAAGGTGAACATAATCATCAATAATCTATGTCTCACGACCCTAGACTCAGAGATCTGTAATTTCAGAGAAGATAACACTATATACTCATGTGGGCTAGAGCTAGATCTACATGAAATTTTCACCAACTTGGAATATGATCTAAGTAGATTGCTACAATGGTTTGCAAATAATGGAATGGTTGCAAATCCAAAAAATTCCAGCTAATGTTTCTTGGCCTGAAAAGGCAGAGAGGGCTACCTACGAATTAGCCTAAATGAGAACAAATTGTCTGCAACAGATCATGTTAAAGGTGAACTGACACACAAAACTATTTATTTAAAAGATGTAGAAAACGTTGCATGGAATCCTAATTTCAAGTTTTCGGTTTAATTATTATTGTCTCTTTTGACGCAATTCCGCTCTAAATGTCATGAAATTGTTGTCAAGTGTTCGATCTTTGTCGGCATTTCATGTGACCCAGTGGGTATGACGTCACAAACACCATGTTTTATATTCCTTGTATAGAAATCACTCTCGGACTGGACAGTTCAGTTCATCTTGTTCAGTAACTATCGACCATTTTGAAAAATTCTTCACATTATTTTGTACAAAATTTTTGACCTCAGATTCTGATTACGAGCAATGATTTTAGTCTACTTGGAAGTTTTCGTGATGATATTGCTCACGATATTGATTTTATGACGACAAAAAGATAAAAATTTTATAAGGGATTTGACCGTGATTGGCGACTAGGGGGGTAAAGTTTCCCCCCGAATGATTTTTGCGGTCAAACCCCTTACAAGTTTTCAAACTTCATTTCTCCGTAAAATCTAAAATACAAGCACAAGCAATATGAAAAATTGTATCTGGCCTAAAATTATGATGATAAAACCAAATTTGAGCTTTAAAAAGTCGTATAATTAGGTTAGGAGAAATTTTCAAAACGAGGCCGTAAGTCGAATTGGTGTATTCGAGGAGATCTATGTAGCCTTTGATCCAAGATACATAAAAATTCGAGGCTAATGAAATGTAAGAAGGATATATGCAGGCTGGTATGTTAGGTAGGAATTTAAGTTTGGAAAGAATAGGCACTTTTAGCTGCTCGAAGAAATTCTCAATTCTGAAGTCAATCATGCGGACGAATGTGGCGAGTGTAAGAATCTTTTCATTTTATCATCAATCTAGTTTCATTTTCGAACAAATTCAAAATATGAAAATAGCTTTGAAAAAAGCAAACATTTTTCAACATACTAAAAGCTTTTTCGTCTGACACTCCTCAGAGCATAAAACGTCAGAATAAGGGTCCGAAAGAACACGATGAAAAATATATACCCAGTTGTGGATCGAAAAAGGCCAATCCGAAGAACGCAATCACAAGACCGGTATAGTTGACCAATCAGTGCCGCGAACCTAAAGAAAAATTACCACTGGAGTCCAAGATGGAAAACGAACTCCTTCTGTCTACACAATGGCGGCTTTTTCGTTTGTATGTAGATCGACTCCAAAACTGCTAGATGGAAGGACGACCGGGCTCTGCCAATGATCCGAAACATGACGTCATTATAGAGTTTTGCACAATCTGGGTTGTCTAAAAGATATTGACCGATGGCACAATCACTTGTTTTAACAGTGTTTCTCGTTTAACAGTGTTTTAACAGGTCTAGAAAGTTTATGAAAGCTTCATTTGCTAAGACCCACTCTAATTTAAGTGAGATAGGATAAACCTATTGGGTCATGAATCCCAAAAACAAAGCTTGCAGAAGAATGGATTTTGGAGATCAAATTTTTTTTTAAAGAAGTAGCCGATGGTGCAAGTCTAATCTCCTGATCTAGTTCATTCCATTCAGCCAGCCAACCGGGATAGAAACTAGACTTGAACTTTTCTGTTCTTGCTCTAATTCGTCCAACGAAATCACGATTGCGAATAGACCTCTTTCCTGTTGTTGCCGCCATCTTTTTTCGCAATGCAATCTGGGATGTCTAGGGGGCAAACAAACCTTAGTTTTTTTACTACTACGAAAAAAGCGTGTTTACTGCCGTCCTGTGACCGGTTTCTTCGATTATACCTCTCTAAAAATGGTTTTTACTAAAGAAGAATTGCGAGTTTGGAAGGTAGAAGATCTTAAGAAGTATCTGTCAGACAGAGGTGTGCCCTCGAACACTAAGAACTGCAGAAAACCACAGCTTATTGAAAAAGTTATTTTTGCTGAAAAGCTCGAACTTCCAACATTGCCTTCTCAAGCTGTTCGAAAATCTGAAATTGACCTCAACCGGAGCAAAATTTTATTCGTTGATGGCGTGCAGTTACCCTTTCCTGAGACAATTGGCTCCCACTGGCTCGAAGGAAGTGAATACTATCCTGACCTTACATTTGATGTTATCAAAAAATATGCAGAAGCAATGGAATCCTTGAAAGCCTCCAAGGAAGGACAGAACCTTCAGACATCTGGACATGTAAAGTCAGTGTTTTTTAATAGAATTACAGATTATATTAAATATTGCTTTATAAAAGCATTGGTTGTGCCTCAGACACGTATATCTGATGCTCCTTATACTGTTTGGGTTAGTCTACGGACAGATGCCTCTTCCATTTTGGCTAGTGAATGTGGATGCGTGGCTGGTTACAGTAACTCATGCAAGCATGTATTTGCTTTGCTATATTACATCCTTGCAGAAGTTAGACTTGGCAACAACAGGTCTTGTACTGGCAAGAAACAGCAATTTAGTGTAAGAACATACAAGAAGGAGCCTAGTCAAATGTCTTCTGTTAAAATTTTGCATCATCATCCAGAAAATGATGACTGCATTCAAACCCCATCAAGAAGTGAATATGAGCCCCGTTCCATCCAAGATTTAAATGTTGCCTTTACCAAAGCTGACTGGGAAGCTGTTGCAGAGGCTACTGATGGAAAAGCAAGTGTTCTCCAATTTGTTAAAACAACAATGAAGAGTTCCTCAACATCCTCTTCCCAAACTGTTCTGCCCCCTTCTACATTGCCTGAGATTGCTTCTAAGTGTCAAGCTGATAGTTTTCATGCAGCATTGAAATTACACCGGTCTGCTGCTGAATTGAAAAGAATAAATGCAATCACTGCTGATCAAGCATCCTCAGAAAAATGGTTCCAGTATCGTCATGGTGTAATAACAGCATCTTCTGCACATGAAGTTTTGGTAAAAGTTGATGACAACCATCAAATTTTAAATTTATCATCATCCCAAAATCTATGTGCAAAAATTTGCATGTATAATCCTTCTGTTCATAGTGCATCATTAAACTGGGGGAAGAATAATGAAAAGTTTGCCTTCAAAAGGTACACCAGAAAGAACAGAACAAAGCACAAACACTTTTCAAGTAAAACTACTGGTTTGTTCATTTCTGAACAGTTGCCTTTTCTGGGAGCCAGCCCTGATGGAGTTATAAGCTGCAAATGCTGTGGATTCGGTGTTTTAGAAATAAAATGCCCATGGAAGAGCCGTGATTTAAATATTGCAGACTATCTCATGCAGCCAGAGTCATGCTTGTCAAAGAATGCTAATGAAATATTTTTGAAGCCTGCACATAAATACTACACACAAGTTCAACATCAGATGTTTGTCACTGGTGCAGAATATTGTAATTTTGAAGTTTTTTTGCCCAAAGAGTCATTGACTGTAAGAATTCCAAGAAATCCACAGTAGGAAATAAAACTTGTCCATTTTTTCAAAAGCATTGTGCTACCTGAGCTATTTTCAGGGACAATAGAAAATGTTGTTGCATGCAGAAATGTAATGAAAGGACTTTTGCGAAAGGTTGAAGATAGACTGGATAGTGAAGAAGCACAAAAGGAACTTCAAAAGTTAGACTCAAGATTATTACTAATATAACTAAACATATGCTTTAAGTTGTAGTTCTTTTCAGTTTTATTGGAGATAGGAGACTCGTTACTATTAGAATATATGATTATTATTATCTTATGCTTGCTGTAGTCACGTGTTACGTTATGTTGAAGCTTATTGGACAATGGACTCTTAGATAACTCGCTTACCACGCTGTTTTACTCCCGAATATGTTAGCCGTTGTATTAGGCCTGATTTTGTTCTTTTAACGTTATATGTTCATGTTTGTTCATATTCATGCCTGGTCACAGCTTCGGATAAATTTAACAGTTACAGTAAAACCCTGCATAGAAATAACTTCAAAATAAGCAATTAAGAACTACTTTAAACTTGAGGCTAGTCACGAGGCTGTCCTTTTACAAGTGGTGGCTGCAAATTGGTAATAGCAGCTGCAATTAACCAGACCTCATCAATTATATCTAACAAGGTTAGAGGTAAAGTATGATCCAGTAGTCTAAATTTCAGTCTTCCCATAACACGCTCAATGTGAATTCTTGCTCTTGCAATTCGTTTACATTCAGATATTTCTGAGGGTGTAAACTGTCTTTTGCTTCGAACGAAGGGTGGCACTTTAACTTTAACTTGCCTGGGAAGAAATATATCCTGAACTGTGTAACCCTTGTCAAACATAGCAATAAACCCAGGATGAAATTTCTGCACAACATTGGAGTCTTCTGTGATAAAACGATCTGAAGCAGAGCCAGAATAGGACCTTGACACAAAACTAATTGATCCTCCTTTTGTACAGAATATTAATTTCTTTTGGGTATTTCTGCTCTTATATGTGCTGTATGTTTGGTACTGAGCCTTGGAATTTGCAGGCTTTTGAATAACTTGTTCAGTGCAATCACCAATGCCTTCAAACTTGTTATAGTCCCCAGAAAAGTGGGGGTGCTTGAATGCTAGAGTTTCTTCTGGTGTTGGCCAATAAATGAGTGGCTCCAGCTGTCGTGCCAACAACACAAAAAAGGTTGTACATATTTTTGATGCATGGCTAGCAGAAATTTTAAATCGAAAAGCAAGGTCTTCAATTGGAGGGTCCAGACGAATGCGCATCAGGGTTAAAAGAATTTCATCTTCCAGTTTGAGTTGGCGGGATGGTCCAGTCTTTTTTCTTGACAAAGGCTTTGATGGGCTGTGCTGGTAGTTTTTAACCTGGAATGAATTCTTGCCTTTAAAATAAGAGATCTTGCCATGCTTTGATCTGACACGATCCACAATGAACAAAAAACTTTGGCAGTGGGGCAACCTGTATATAATTTTATGATGGGGTTGTTACCAGAAATAGAATCCCAAGACAATCGATGTGCACGACGTTCTTTGGAAGTGTCCAAGCCACTTTGAGGGATATCAACAGATTCATGAACAGGATGGTTATCAGCATTTTCTTCAGCAATGACTTCTGACACGTGAAAATTATCAATTTCTACAGTTTCACTGATGTTAACAGGTGTTGCTTCACTGTGTGTCGGCTTGAAAAGATCTGAACGATCCAGTCGCCTTCTTTTTGGTTGACTAGGCCCATCATACCCCTTCAAAAATAATGTGGGGTGCGGACAGGAATCTGTTGGCTTTCCGTATTGAAAGTGGTTGGAACATACCTTTGTTGATTTCCCAACTTTCAAAAGAGTTTTTTGCCAGATGTTTTGTCGATAACCTCCCTGTTGATGAGCTTTGACCACGTACGGAAGAATTTCTCTTTGCATGACCAAAAACGAATGTGCTTGCATCCATCAAATGCTGAAATGTGTTCTTTAATTACATACTTGTCAGGATATCTGCGATCATTATCACAGCCCCAAACAGCACAATGATCAGATTTACCCATAACGTCGAAGTAAAATAAGGAAAGCGAGCAAAATTTGAGTAAACTTTAACAAATCTTGAAGCGAAGCACTTATTTACCTGCGGAGCAAGAAAACTGCAGTGCAGATTGTTTGCCCCCTGGCAATTCCACAATGCACTGCGCGGAAAGATGATGGCCGCAACCGGAAAAAGGTCTATTGGGTAAAGCGACTGTTGAAGTGTGGGAATTGGACCCATTAGATATGCAAGTGTTTGATTATTCATCATTTTGTAAAACAACGTAAGGCGTCTACTCAAGCGTCGGGAACTTAACGATTCCCAACCAAGCTCGGCGTATATCTTCGTTCGCGATGTCCCCCTCCATGCTCCTGTGATGGCTAGAGCAGCTGAGTACTGAATGGATTCAAGCTTTTTCATCAAACTTGACAAAATAACATTACCGCTGGATTCACATGCTTTGGCTGGAATATGATAGATCACATCTCCGTATTCAAGGTGAGGTCGCACATAGAGTTTGAATAGTTCGTTTAGGGTATGTCTGGGAAGGAATTTGGAGAGATGTTTCAGAGAATCGATACCCTTTCTTGCTTTAGAGATTGCTGCTTTGATATGAGCCAAAAAAGAAAGCTTTAAATCCAGAATAATACCTAGGTGTTTACGTTCATCAATTTTTCTCACTGGTACGTTGTTAAAACGAATCTCGGGATGGTTGATTTCAATTCGTTTCGTCGAGAATGTTAATTCAACAACTTGTTTCTGTGGATCGGGGTTGAAGGACATTTTCCAATCATAGGCCCATTGAATTATCAATTCACAACGTTTTAGCTTATAAATAAGTTCTTCATGCCATACCCTATCGAATGCCCTACAGATATCGAGAAACACAGAGCGAACATCAAGTGGAGGTTTACAATCAAAGGCTTTAAAGATAGTATGGGTGATTGAGATTAATTGGTTAATCGTTGAGTCACCGGGACGAAAACCTGATTGATTCGGATTGAGTAACTTGCATGAAACCAAGTAAGAATATAAAGGATCGTACATGAGTTTTTCAAGAATTTTTCCAAAATTGAGAAGGAGAGAGATTGGTCGATAATTACCTTTAGGGTTTTTCTCGTTTTTCTTGTGAACTGGCACTACATTTGCATATTTCCATGTTTCGGGAAATACACCCCGCCTCAAGCAGTTTTCAAATATAATTTTTAGAGGAGTAACTAGTGCAGCATCGCTTAACTTTATCATTCTGACTGATATTTCATCCCAACCATGAGATTTATTGGGATTTAGAGATCTTATAAAGTTAAGAATCTTTTCCTCAGATATAAAAAACTCGCTTATGAAAGACGAAGGAGTTGGAACATTTAGTGGAACTACGCCATCTGTATCAATTTTCGTACACTGGAAAAGGAAATAATCATTGAATATCTGTGCCTTTTCAGTGAAATCCGTTATAAAAAAACAATTTTCTAGAAGAGGTGGTATTATTGGAATCTTAGCTTTGTTTAGGACAGTGTTGATTAAAGACCATTATGTTCTACTAGAAGTCCCAGGGTTGGCTAAGGTGTTTCCTGCTCTAAGGAAGAATTTGCATTTGGCATCCTCGATCAACCTTGAACCTTCGGATATCATTTGTTGCATTCCTTCTAGCCTGTTAATTGGCTGACCGTTCTTTATAAATTTTCGATAGGCACGATTCTTTTTCCTTAGGAAGGTTTTGACTTTATCTGTTATCCAAGGTGCTTGATGGGTTCTAATCATTTTAACTTTGTTGGGTAAATAATTTGAGTAAATTTTTAGCAGAAATTCATTAAGTAATTCTACCTGCTCATTAGGACATGTCAAGTTGCCAAGGTGCTCTCGCCAGTAAAACATTTCATTGCTTCTCCTAATGGCAGTGAAATTTGCTTTGTCATAGTACCAAATCCTGCGTTTGTAGGGGGGGGGCAGTTTTGCATTTGAAACAGATAGTTGTCCATAGGCTTTTTGGTGATGGCCCTGAGCATGCAAAGAAGGATGATCGAGGTGGTCGACATTGAGCAAAGAAGGGTGATCGAAGTTGTCCAATCAGGTGGTCGAGATGGAGCCAAAATCTACTCAATTAATGTATCGATAATCTTCCGGAAAGTCATAAAAGTACAGCCTTCCAGACTGTCGTGTTGCTCAAGTGCTGTGAACATGGTGTTTGTGACGTCACGATTATGCGGAAGGCTCTGGCAAACTCGTCCGTGCTCGGAAAATGCTCGGTGGCTAACTTTGACGCTGAATAACTCAAAAACTATGTTGAATATTAAAAAAAATAATGTATCAGGACTTTATGTTCGATATGCTTTCATTGAGATCAAGTTGATTTTGCGTGTCAGTTCACCTGTAAAGTCATAGAGATTCAAGTTGACAACAAATTTAAATTTAAAAATCACGTTATAACGTTATGCTCAAAAGTCAACAAAAAAATAAGTGCCTCTTTTGGGCTAAATACATATAAATATAGAGAGCAGGCATTGGCAATTTGCAACGTGGTTATCTTGTCGATCTTCAGTTATGGCCCTTTGATCTCGATGTTTTACAACAAAGGTGCATCCAAAGAGATTGACCGCACACACAAACGTGCTCTTCGGATCCTTTCTAAAGATAACGAGTGAACCTTTGAAACGTTAATAGTTTGAAGTGGCAGTTTTTGTATACATGTTAGAAACTTGCTAAAAAGGATGACAGAAATTTACAAGCCCAGGAATCAGGGCCGTCGAGAGACGGGCTGGGCCCCAGGGCTGGGACTGTCATTGGGCCCCACCGTCGCAGGCTGCAAAAACCTTTTTTGGGTTAGGCCCTTAGCAATGCAGTTAGATGGACTGTAAAAGGCATGAATTTTGAAATCAACGCCCCTGAAAAACTTGAATTTGTATTTTAAGGTCTTTAACAGAACATGTAATTAGTGACTTTATAAAACAAATCATTAAAACAAATCAGTTTAAAAATCAGAGTTAATTTAATGTTTAAAAAACTGCTTTTCTTGCTTTCCTTATGGCGAAATCCTTAATCTTTTCTTGCTTTCCTTATGGCGAAATCCTTAATTATTTCCCACAATCTTTTCCAGCTGTCGTTCGCTCCCCAACCATCAGGAGAAGTCAATTTTGATTTTGAACTATTATTAATATTGTGCCCAAACAACCTGCATGGCAAACAATAGAGTGCAGCCTTTGTAGGACCGAAAACAAGCCAGCTTCTTACTACCTCCCCATTTTGCTGCTTCACATTTAGGACCGTTGTTGGAAATTTGTGGCCGTCGCAATCTTCGGGAAACTCTGGAGGATGAGGCAAATGACCAGTTTTAACAACCTTTTCTAACTCCTTTATCGTTGGAAATCCGGTCAATGTGCCGACATCAAAACTAGATGATCCACTATGAACAGTATCTTGATCTAATGACGAATAAGTAGTGCTTTCTCTACTTTCTGTGGTGTCATGGTCTACCGAAGCAGCCAAGCCGTTTGTGTCTTCTTCTTCTTCAGCAATGCTTTGAACAGAGCTTTTTCCAGGTTTATTGAAAGTTGAATCACCTTCCTTGTCTCTTTTGTAAGCACCTACCTCAAACAGTGTGCGAGAGGCCCTCTTTGCTTCTTTTTCTCGTATCTTTTTTCCTGCCTTTTCTGAGCACCAGACTTGTGCCTGTGAGATGACATCGCAGGGGTTGGTTGGATCGTGATCCCGCTTAGTGATTTTGATAAAGACTTTTATAGCGTTTGGATTTGTCTTGGTTCTTCGCATGTGCTTCTTCTCTGGTGTACGAGGTGAATGGAAGATTTACTTTTACGTTTATAGGAAGTCAACACAAGGAATAACCAAAACATTTGACCTAAAAGAGGATATATGTAAGTGCAATCGAATTTTTCGGCTTCCGGAGAAGTATATTATGATCGTATCGTCAATGTTCTAATTATAAACCTTAACAAGAAAAGATCCTCATCATAGACCAGCTTGTTGACCCCATGTTGAAAGATTAAATTTCGAATATCAATCGGGTCATGAGCCCGCCCTGCTAATGCTGCTAATTGAAAACTCATAGCCAAAAGTACATACATTATTTTCTACGGGCCCCCTGGTAACTACCCTGGTTACCCCCCCCCCCTCTCGACGGTCCTGCCAGGAATCATCTTGACCTATCGATTACATGAGAATTTCATGAAAAGAAGCATGAAACTTAAAACCTAAGGATAAAGAATCTCTGCAAACTGCCACTAATAGATAACAGTGTTAAACATGAAACCCTAACCCTAACCCTAACCCTAACCCTAACCCTAACCCAACCCTTGCGGCACTCAAAAAGAGGATCGAAGACTTGGCTGGCGATAAATGCACTTGCAAAATATCCTGCTAATTTCTTTTTATAAAGTGTATTCAATTTTTTGTAAATAGTTGGTTTGAATTAGTATACTTTTGATTACTTTTGTGAAATACCAACTTCAAAAATGGATCAAAAGCAAAAAAAAAAGAAAATACCTTTTTTATATAACAGAACATAACGCCCCTAATATCTAAACCATTTCGTCTATACACTGTACTATTGTATATTGTCCAAAAAGTTGTTGTTCACACGTTTTGTGATTTTGAAATGCCCTGATACAGACACGTTGTTGCAGGCAGTTACTTTAGCAATGTTCTGAGAAACGCCCAAGAAGCGCCAAATTTCTGATTGGCAGCGAAAGATTTTTCGAGCACCAGGGACAGTGTTAAGTCTCACATAGGTAATAAGAGACCCCAATGAGCAATTTACCTTCTACCAGTATTAGCTTGACTCAAATGGTCGCAGAAATCCAATGAAAACGGAGAAGAACCCCATTATAAAATTCTCGGGGTGGCAAACAACTAGAACTCTCTTGTTCCAGGGGTGGCATTGCCACCCCATGCTATCCCTTGGCTACGGACCTGTCTCTCCACCTGTTCCAAATACTAAATCTCGAAAAAGGTACCTGCCAAAGAGATTAGGCAATACTTTACCTGATGAAGAATGATCAAAATATTTGCCATATGAATCAACTTTTGTAACAAAGCAAAGGAAAGTAATCAAGTGTTCTGGAATGTTTGAACCGGAATTATATCAGTTCGAAGTGAAGCAAGTTCATGCAGCATCGTAAAATATCATCATGGAAACGACTGCGATCGTTATTGAATGTGTTGCCCTTTATAACTTGAAGGAAGAACAGGAAAAGACGCTGGTGCAAGTGATAAGTTTTGGGTGAAGATTGATTCAAAGAAGACTTTCAAGATTTAAAAGACCATAGTGTAAGTTGAAACTTTTCATTTATCCATCATTTTTCACGAAGACTTACCTAGGCCCATACTCTACTGCCTTTAATAGACAGGCCCCGAGTCTATCAATTTCAGGAGCAATTGCCCTCCCCTTTTGCTTATTAAGACCCCCTGCTATTGATTTTGATTTTGATTTAGTTCAAATTCTACTACATTTCTAAAAAAGCTAGTTAGTTATATAAACTATAAACAAATCAACTTAAGAACGCAACAACAACAATAACATTATTTAAAAGACAAATCGAAGCATAATTCTTAGGGAGGAGCCTTCAAAGTAGGTTAACTATTGAGATGAAGGCCCCCCTTTTGTTTCGGCGATCTATATGTTTATCTATAAAGTGTCTCGTTGAATTAAATTAAATGCTTTGCGGACTAAACAAGAAATTTTGCAAAGCTCACTGACTTTCAAATAACTTCTAGAAGATAATTTTTCAAATAATTTT